GTCTTGAGTTTTTTCCGGGAACAAACACATGACAATAATTCCTCATTTAAATAATTAATAGCCAGAATAAAGGGGCGGGGGCTTATTGAGTTAGTAGTGTGCTGAAATGGGTGGTTGTGGTAAGGGGCAGGACATTTCCCAAATGCACTCAAAGTGCTCGACCAATCACAACACACCGATCCAGCCAACCAATCAGAGCACAGTGTGCTTTTCAGAAGGAGGAGCTTCATAGAGATAGGAAATAAAAAGAGCGTTACTGACAGACTGGGAAGAGAGGAGCCGCAACAATGGAGATTAATGCGTCTTTTGAACATTCAAGCATGAAAACTTCTACTAGAGACCAAAACCAATCAAGACTTCGGAAAAAAACCCCCGGCATATTAGGGTGCCTTAAAAAAAAATAATAAAAAAAAGTTATTTGTCAGAGAGAGAACACTGTGTTCCATCGTTTACTATAGATGTTAGGAAGACCCATTTTTTTATTAAAATATCAGTTGTCATATCCTACCGGTTCCAGCTGTAGAAGACTTCTTCCACCAGATCAAGTAATCCAGGAAACCGCTGTATGCATGGATGAGTTTTTCGGCGTCACCCTGAGCAATGGAGAAGTTTCCATATCTCCAGCTCTCTCCGACGGACAGCTGCCGCTTGGCTTCTTCCATCTGCCCGTTTAGTAGGAGATGAAAGCAATGCTCCAAACAGATCTACAACATTCACATCACATACTGATTAAAATGCATGCCTTGAATAGTGTCAATGTCGTAAAGGGGAGGTTTGGGCTTCTTAATGCAATGCATACCTTGGAGAAGTTTTTGACTCCATTGTTTTTCAACTGTTCATTTACAGCGTTGAAATCTTCAGCAGTGGCGTTAGGGAGATGACGCAGAATTTCTGTGCCTATTCTCCATGTGATCTGATGGACAGAATTCAGCAGAGAAACACATCATCCATACAGTAGCAAACACACACACACACACAAGACAGTAGTAAACACACAATAGGAGGATCCAGCATGAAAATACAAACAAATAAACAAGTCAGGCTGAAGATGATTTCATGGTTTTATGATAAGAAAAATGCATGGCCTGGACAAAGCTTAGTAATAATACTTACAAAACAATGTTAATCCTCCTTATACAGTGTATTTAACTAGTATTGAACAAAACCAGGTAACAACCCACTTGTCTTGACTTTGCAAGCACATATACGGTGTCATTCCATGTTAAATCAACTTTGCTTGCTCAAATTTCAACTTTTTAAATATTTTTATTTTAAATTTAAATATTTTTTTTTTACTTTATAATTTTTTTTTTCTGAAGACAAACATAAATAGTTAATATACATTAATGAAATTTAATGTTTTGGGTTTTTTCACTGAGTAATTCACTATTTTGTATAGAGGGTCAAAATGACAAATTTCACAAGACATTTGGAGCCAAATTGCCTTCATGGCAGCATCATTACTTATTTATACACAGAGATTGGTAAGTCTATTTAAATCCATTTACTTTTACAATATTTGTTGCATTATAAGACAACAGTGATTTAATGAATTTATATGAAATTTATTTTTTATGAAAAATAATGAATTATATCTGTTTGTTGAGCAACTTTAAGTGACATGCCATGGATGCAATGAACAGTGTAACAATACAGATAACCATTTAAAAACTCTCTTAGCACTCTAAGCTGCTTATAAATCGACTTGGCCGAGTTTAAAGGGCTGTTGTACCTCAGAAGCCGTTGGATGCACTTTAATGCTATTCCTGGCCTCCAGTGCCTGAATGTAAGAGTTGTAATAAACCGCAGCCTCCTGCCAGTTATGAAGCAGCATCGCATCTCTGAGCCGCTTCAGACACTTTCTGTTCGACTTGTTGAAGAAGATCTCTGTGGGAACTCCTAAACATAAAACAAAACAAAAGTAGTATTGATATGACTTTATGTTTGGATAAATATGTTTGCATCTTTTCTGTTTAATAGTGTCTTGTACACCCTGTTAGCATGTTAGTTATTACAAGATACATATGGAGCAACAATGCACATGGTATAATTACTCTTTCAGCAAAGCTCTCCTTTCTTTTCTATGTTGACTTGCTATTCTATTTGTTGGTCTCAGCAAACACCCTAGACTTGCTATATAAACTATGGCACGAGCACAATAAAGTTGACTTTGAGTGAACTGCACTTCTGTGTTTGTGTCATTCTCGGTCCACAGATCTGGTGTTGCACTCTGCTCAGCAGTGATCATTGACTTCGTTTTGATATCCAACTTTATCTAACACTTTACAACATAAACAACAAGTTCACATATGATATCAGAGTAAACTCACCTTTGTCATCCGTCCACAATTCATGGTTAACGGGCGATTTAAACAGTTCCCGATTTGTCAATTCATCCTGTGGAAAATCATCAGCCTCTATATCATCCATGGATCACTTTCCTCTTGAGACTGTTATGAAGAGTGTGAATGAAATACACCATACACGTGGGACGTGTGAACAAAACAATTCCTTGCCAAAAACATCTGACAGCGCCACCTGCCGCACGGGCGGGCAATAACACAGAGAACGCGCAGGCGCTCTGTCTTTATGGAGCATATTATTTGTGCCTTATAGTAACTTACTGAGTAAGAAATCTATCTATCTGCCTGTCCCAAAACATGTAGGGCTATGTTCAAAGTTTGTTTTTGGTTAGCCAGAAAACAACATTTTGGAAATAGATAGACGGTTGAATGGACAACAATAATCAGCAGCCTACTTATTAGTCAATACAGGACATAATTAACATTAAAAACAAGCCCAGAACATTAAACAATTAATAAAAATTATGTGACTAACTAAAGCATAACATTACATTCGTTTCTTACCACTGACGTGCGTCTCTTTTTGTCATGGTCAGTATTACAAAAACGTCTCCGTTACTTCATGTTCCAATTCAATTAGACGTGTCAAGTCTCTTTGAAATTACACTATTTACTCTCATATATTAATTATTATAAGCAGTTATTATATAAAGTGGCCGAGAAACTAATGTAAGTAAATCAGCAAAACGAAATGACGGTTAATTTTTAAAATCCACGAGCGCGCGAATTTCTGTGGAGGACAGAAGTAGATTCGCGTGCAACACAACAAGTGATAAATCCACGTATTTATAATCTGAATAATTTCATTCTACACTTAAACCAGGCTTAATATTTTTAACTATAAAAGGTAACAAATTTTAAAATGCTAATGAATTTTGACTAATCTAATCCAGGATTTAATATGTCTACCTAAACTGTTTTTCTAAATCTATATCATCTTAAGGAGGATGAAAAGTCTAAATTGAAAAACAACAGGAATGCGACATAAAACCATCATTCATGATTTGATTCAGTTCTGATTTACTGAATGAGCACTGTCACTATTCATCCTTTTTTATTCTAAACTGTTTTAATTATTCTTATTTCTTTTGATTATTTCATTTTCTATGTAAAGCACTTTGAAATTCCATTGTGTATGAAATACGCTACATATATAAACTTGCCTTGCCTTACTTTTATATGGAGATTAACTGGGAAATTATTACATAAAAAAAATATATTAACAAAGTATAAAAACTTGTTTTTAATTTGTGATTAATCACAGAAAAAAAATGTGGGGGCCATAAAACAGCATTTCCTTACTTTATTACGGTTCTCACTTTCGAGATGATTTAGCAAAATATGTGGTCATTTGGGATAAAGCGAGACATTCTAACGTAACTTTTTTGGTTTAAAATGTATATATGCCATACAGGAGAAGTGCAGGCTTGAGCATTTTCAATGGAGAAACTGCAGCCATAGTTTACATCAGGTAATACTGACAGATACACGGTTGTATTGACAAAATTTTGACTATCTTGTGACTAATGAAACGAGGACTTGTCATTCTGATGGAACTGATATGTTCATTGACATAAATACTTATATTTGATAGACGAACTAAAGATTTTGAGTTACTGGATTTTGCCGGTAATCCATCGTGTGCAAATGTTTGTACAAATTGTTTTGAGAAATGCACTTACTGGTTTGCAAATATTAAAGAAGACTCGAGAAATGTGCCAAAGTGAAGAGAAAAACTGTAATTGAAAGTGAAGCTCAACATGAGCAGATACACAGCGTTTAAAGGAGGAGTCTTGTGTCATACTTCGACAACTGAAATGTTGTCTGGTACAAATCTAGAAAAATCTCAAATTTACATGTTTTTTATACAGTGCATTTAGACTTCTTAGCCTTCTTTTTCTTCTTTTTTCCTCCATCTTCCTCTTCCATCTCAATCAACTTTTCCTTCATCATCTTTTTCTTCATCTTTTTCTTCTCCAGCATCTTTTCCTTCATCATCTTTTTCTTCATCTTTTTCTTCTCCAGCATCTTTTTCTTCTTCTCCAATCTTTTCTTCTCCTTTTCCATCCTTTTCTTCTCCAAATTTTCCTTCCTCCTTTTATTCAGCACCTTCCTGTACTGGCATTCCTCCGTTTTACTTTTAGATACTTTCTTGAAGTGTGAATTGTATCTTACGTATTCCAAAACTGTGAGAAGAAAATAAAGATGTTCAGGAACTTATTAAATACATCACAGTCCAGACCGATCTCATGAAATGGCCTACGTATGACACGCCAATTCTTATTTCCATTTTTGGCGAGCTATCAACACGCATAATCGCTTTTCAGCGTGTTTATGAACGCAGTTGACTTAACGTTACATTACTTTATACATAAATATATGACCTACCCCAACCCCGTCACTGGGGTTAATACGATTTATGAGTCTTCCCCTACCATCCTAGGAAAAAAATAAAAATATCGCTCCCCAGATGTAGATCTACATTTTGCTTCGTTTCGCTCTGACATTTAACGGCGTGTACATACACGCGGAATCACTCGGATAAACTGAGACCCAAAGGTTTCTGTTCTGGTTCGACTGAGGACACTAAATGGAAACTTGATCATTTCATCTGGAAAAAGACAATCATATACTTACAGCGTTCACCTAGAGCCTTTAAAACGTCACTCTTGATCTGCAGAAGACTGGCGTTCTCCTCTAGGTCTACCCTGGCGTAATGGATTCTGAAGTGAAAGGAGAACCACAGCGGTCGCCTGGCGTCCCATTCCTTCAATACAAAGTCTTGCGCTTTCTAAATGAGAACAAATCAACATCAGAAGAAACATTTATATTAGGGCTGGGTATTGAGAAATATTTCACAATTCGATTTCGATTCACAAGCTTGCAATTCGATTACGATTCGATTCAATATCGATTATTTTGGATATCAGTTACAATAAATGGCCCTTTTTCTCAAGGGAATTAAATCTCTTCACTAAATATCGATTTCTCGATATTAATCGATTCTCATTTTTACGAACCGATATCGATTCTTAAATCTCAAGAATCGATTAGTCGATTCTTATTCAATATTTAATGCATATTTGAATAAATCTGGCAAGTTTTTATGACAGCCACCATTTTAAAATGTTTATATTTCATATAATCTTCTTATTATAAAAATAAATTAAAGTGTAATTTAAGTGTTTGTATAGCTACAAAACAGTTCATTATTACCTTCATATTAGGCTAATGAAGCCTATAGGCTACAACTAGACTCCCATAGTTGTAAACTATGTAATAATGAACTGTTTTGTAGCTATACAAACACTTAAATTACACTTTCATTTATTTTTTAATAAGAAGATTATATGAAATATAAACATTTTAAAAAGGTGGCTGTCATAAAAACTTGCCAGATTTATTCAAATATGCATTAAATATTGAAGAACATTAAGATTATAATGCATATGTAATATGGTGAATATATTTAGCAAAATGCTCCTCTCTGGAGTTATTTTTTCTAGCTGACTAACGAGTTTATGTGGGTTTTCTGAGGTAAATATGATGATACATTGATTACAAGCTGTTTAACTGACGTCTTTCCACGGTTGAAACGCTGATTGAGCGAATCAATGTGACATGATAGGGATTTCGATAAGTTGTACTCTATCTTTAACACACTTTCAGATGCTCATTCATGTTTATTTCGCGCTGTGACTGGTATTATTAACCCGGAAGTGAGATCAGCGCTGCTGCTTCTCCAGAGCGATCTCACGCCACAGCGCCAAAACACTATTTATGTTTTTGAATTTCTAAAGAATATGGACGTAATTTGAAAATTGAGACTTTGTTTCATATCAATAGAAACAAAGGACAAAGATTATTGCGATTTTTTGGATGCGCGCAGCCGCGATACAATGTCCCCTTCATTCAAAGGAAACAGGATGACTAATCGATTCTTGAGATTTAAGAATCGATATCGGTTCGTAAAAATGAGAATCAATTAATATCGAGAAATCGATATTTATTACCCAGCCCTAATTTAAATAGTTATAATGATCCTAAAATTCAAAATATCAGGGTAAAAATGCCCCTGTATGAGTTTTCAGGTCTCATACTTATATCATACGATAGAGTCAAACAATATCTCACAAGCAACAAATGCATATCTCACAAGTGCTGTTTTTGTCCCGAATAGCACGTGCCAATGTTATCTAGAAAAATCTAGATATTAAAGAAGATTAACAGATACAACAGTTGAATAAATTAATACTGTGTAATATTTTGGACACAATAGTCCATTTTTGCTCAATTTTGACAACAAAATATAGTTGTACCATTGCAAAATATTGTACCATTGAATGTAAAGGAACAAAAATACGTTTATAATGTCTGTCAGAGTTTCGGTATTACACATTACTGGATGTAATGTGACATTTGTGTTCTTTTCTTTCAACAATGCAATATTAACCTGAAACGACTTATTTTTTATAAGTACATTAACAGCAACTCACTTCCGTTTGAGTAACTTTATAATGTTCAGAAGACACGACCAAGCCTTCATGTCATTTTTCCAACTAGAAAACTCCAGAAGGTCCATTGAAACGCTGAAAGCTTCTTCTAGATCGCACATGAGTCCTGGAAAAAAGAAGAAGCAGAAACTGATTTAAATCAAAGTGGTCTGCTTTATAGAGTTCAGTTACTGATGGGTGATGAATCTAACAAATAAACCCAACAGACTTACAGTGGAGGATGATCTTTATAACCACACAGCAACAAGCTAAAAGTAAACACCAATCAGAAATGTCTAGTTTTCATACGTACTGGTGCTCAGCAGGAGAGAGCAGAGATCCAGCATCAGTTCATGACTCGGGACTACAGTGCGCAGAATCTGAGCAACAGAAACCAGAATAAATCAATCATTTTAATCAGAAACTTTATGTACATTCTGATTGGCCGAACCATTTCATACCCTTAATGAACCGATGAGTCTGTCATCTGGGGCATTGTGTCTCTTGAGGAACTGGTACAGGTACACATGAGCATTGGGATTGGTTGGGAAATCCTTGTTGTAAGCGTAATTCTCCAGAATCTGCAGAGCGCCGTCCTCATCGTTGTAAAACTCCAGCATCTGCAGCGGATGACACATATAGACAGCATTAGACTTGTCTAAACAAACTCTTTAAAGGTGCCATCTAACATCATAAATCAAATCCTACTCCATATTCCATAACAGATGGGGGCAGTATACCTCCAAAAAATGACTTGTGCTCCTACCATCGCGCAAATCATTTGACATGATAGTAAAAGGTTGGAAGACCGCAGTTTCACGTGGAACATTTGGAGATTTTAGAGATCAGAGACTCAATGAACTAAACACTAGAGTGAACTAAACTAAACACTATGAATCTCAACACTAAATGATGAAGACCGCCTCATAGATCTCAAAAACAAGCTGGTGCATTTCGACGGTATGGGAAAATAAAAGCTTGGGCAATTATTTGAAGTTTATGGTATTCGTTTTGTTCATATTACACTTTTATTGTTAGTGAATTAATTTGACAGACAGCATTCGCTGATGTTGATCAAGCTAGCGCCGTGAATTCACCGTGAGACACACGCAATTGACACTTAGCAAGCAGGTTAGTTAAGCTCTCAGATTCTGTCAATTATATTACGCAATTCAAAGAATAAATACCGTTTTGGCGCTTGTACATGTTACACTACAGATCCCTAGCGCACGTGAACCGATCGTCTCTACTAGCTGGAAAAAGAACACGAACTCTGTTGAAAGATACAGTATGCTACAACTTACCAAAATGTATTCCTCATGCATAATGTCGACCAATCATTTTTTGAACTCTTCCCTGAACTGAAATGTAGTAATTGGCTGTATTTCCACACGACTGACATCAGGTTCAAGTACACACAAGCCGGCGCGAGCGCGACTCACTCGCGTATTGCAGTTTGGCTGGTGCTAACGTTGCCCGTCCGCATACCGCCTCCCATGGCCGGAACTGGTATTACGACACCTGCCGGGCCGGGGCTAGTAATTTAGCATGCTAATTCAGGTTAATATCTCGGCAGCACTATAACTTGTCAGTTTTTTAATGACATCTTTGCACTTATTTCTTCTCATTCTTTTGATGCGTGTAGCTCATTTTTCGTATATTGTTACCTCAATTATTACATATGGCACCTTTAAACAAAGAAAATCTTCAAATTGCACAAGGTAAGATCGTGTCTCACATTAACGTAACCCAACACAAAAGGGTCCCAGATTCCAGGCTGACTGATGATGTCCTTCAGGGTCACAGAAGCATGTCTGAAGTAGCTGTGCATCTCATTGTTACGGCTCGCCTCATCTGATAGCAGAAACATAGACAAGAATGCATTAAACTGGTGAACAGTGAAGACATTTGTTGTAATGCTGTTCTTTTGAACTTTCTATTTATCAAAAAATCCTGAAAAATAAAAAGGTTTCCACAAAAAAAAAAAATAATTAAGCAACAAAAAATTGGTGAAATTTGTGGTTATGGTAAGGGGCGGGACATTTCCCAAATACGCTCAAAGCGCTCAACCAATCACAACACACCGATCCAGCCAACCAATCAGAAGATCCATTTTTTTATTGTCAGTTAATTGTTCAACATAACACAAATATGTTCCTACCGGTTCCAGCTGTAGAAGACTTCTTCTTACACCAGATCAAGTAATCCATGAAACCACTGTATGCATGGATTAGTTTTTTTGTGTCACCCTGAGCAATGGAGAAGTTTCCATATCTCCAGCTCTCTCCGACGGACAGCTGCCGCTTGGCTTCTTCCATCTGCCCGTTTAGTAGGAGATGAAAGCAATGCTCCAAACAGATCTACAACATTCACATCACATACTGATTAAAATGCATGCCTTGAATAGTGTCAATGTCGTAAAGGGGAGGTTTGGGCTTCTTAATGCAATGCATACCTTGGAGAAGTTTTTGACTCCATTGTTTTTCAACTGTTCATTTACAGCGTTGAAATCTTCAGCGGTGGCGTTAGGGAGATGACGCAGAATTTCTGTGCCTATTCTCCACGTGATCTGACGGACAGAATTATGAATTCAGCAGAGAAACACATCATCCATACAGTAGCAAACACACACACAAGACAGTAGTAAACACACAATAGGAGGATCCTGCATGAAAATACAAACAAATAAACAAGTCAGGCTGAAGATGATTTCATGGTTTTATGATAAGATAAATGCATGGCCTGGAAAAAAGCTTAGTAATAATACTTACAAAACAATGTTAATCCTCCTTATACAGTGTACCACTTAACTGTCACCGTCCCACAGGTGGGACGTTTGCCACTATATTTTTAAAACAATAATATCTTAGTAAATACCTTAAATAATATTGACAAACTATATATCATTTGAAAGCTTACAATCTCTAGTTTCCATATTTGGTGACTGATTTTCAAAATATATTACAGAGGAGCCATAATTTATCAATATAAAACAAGAATATTTTCATACTCATAAGGCGTGTTCAGACCTTTATTTTAAAATAGCAGTAAACATGAAAAATCATGAAAAAATGGTAGATACCTCAGTTTGTTTTCATGCCAAAAGTTCAAAAGATAGAATCCATTCAATAATTTTGGAAAAAAAAGGTCTGAAAAGTTTGAAATATCAAGAAAAAAATAATAAATTCACCATTTGTGACGTGGCAGCTAGCTATGACTTACATGCGTGTTCTTTGTATGTGTTTCTTAGAGGTTCAATTCATATCAAAATCTGCCAAACTTCCCATGCTACTTCTGAATAGGATCTCTACTTCAGAAATTGTTTGAAAATTGTGAAAATAATGGTTCATATCACTCAAAACACGAATGGAAATGCAGGCGCCCTTATATGGGCAGTAATGGAGTCTGATTGTGCCCTAGTGAAAAAGTTTGGTACTGCGCTCAAACAAAATCTTACTGAAAGCTCATTTTTTGAGATATCAACCTAAAATTTGAAACACAACTTGTTCAGATTTTTGGCTTTGATCTTTCTTCCATTTTAGAGTAGCTCAGGTTTTGAAAATATATATTTTATGTAAAATATGAATAATTAATATTTTTACATTGTACATTTCCATAAACTCAAACTTCTATAACTTTTTTTCTGTTTCACTTTCTTAATTTATTTCACTTCTACAAAAATCCGCCAAATGTCTTCTTTAAAACAAGACCAATCATATGTCTATATTCCAAAGCATTCTTGAATTACAACCATTTAAGTTCGAAATGTGCATTTTCATGTCTATTCAAAAAAGGGGGGGGTGACAGTTAACAGGTTAACTAGTATTGAACAAAACCAGGTAAAAACCCACTTGTCTCGACTTGCAAGTGGTCATTCCATGCCAAAACAACTTTCCTTGCTTCCTGACATGAATGTATATTTACTGAGTAATTCACTATTTTGTAGAGAGTCAAAATGACAATTTTCACATGAGATTTGGGGCCAAATTGCCTTCAGATGGCAGCATCATTACTTTATTTAAACACAGAGATTGGTAAGTCTATTTAAATCAGTTTACTTTTACAATCTTTGTTGCATTATAAGCCGATGGTGATGCCACAATATCGATTCGCAATACAAAAATGCAACAATATGTATCGTGGATAGTTTCCCAAAATAAAAATTACTGTGTGAGAGTTTTAGTGTCAGTCAGTACTACATTAAACTACCATATACATAATGTTGAACTATAGAAAAAACTCTCTAAGCTGCTTATAAGTCGACTTGGCCGAGTTTAAAGGGCTGTTGTACCTCAGAAGCCGTTGGATGCACTTTAATGCTATTCCTGGCCTCCAGTGCCTGAATGTAAGAGTTGTAATAAACCGCAGCCTCCTGCCAGTTATGAAGCAGCATCGCATCTCTGAGCCGCTTCAGACACTTTCTGTTCGACTTGATGAAGAAGATCTCTGTGGGAACTCCTAAACATAAAACAAAACAAAACAAATGTAGTATTGATATGACTTTATGTTTGGATAAATATGTTTGCATCTTTTCTGTTTAATAGTGTCTTGTACACCCTGTTAGCATGTTAGTTATTACAAGATACATATGGAGCAACAATGCACATGGTATAATTACTCTTTCAGCAAAGCTCTCCTTTCTTTTCTATGTTGACTTGCTATTCTATTTGTTGGTCTCAGCAAACACCCTAGACTTGCTATATAAACTATGGCATGAGCACAATAAAGCTGACTTTGAGTGAACTGCACTTCTGTGTTTGTGTCATTCTCGGTCCACTGATCTGGTGTTGCACTCTGCTCAGCAGTGATCATTGACTTCGTTTTGATATCCAACTTTATCTAACACTTTACAACATAAACAACAAGTTAACATATGATATCATCGTAAAATTACCTTTGTCATCCGTCCACAATTCGATGTTAACGGGCGATTTAACGAGTTCCCGATTCGTCAATTCATCCTGTGGAAAATCATCAGCCTCTATATCATCCATGGCTAACTGCTTTACGGAGAATTGCTTTCCTCATGAGACTGTTATGAAGCCTGTGTGAACAAAATCATAAATACACTTTACACGTGGGACATGCGAACAAAACAATTCCTGATTAAAAACATCTGACAGCGCCACCTGCCGCACGGGCGGGCAATAATATAGAAACCGCGCAGGCTGGTTAATCAATATTGGATAAGTTGCGGTCTCGAGCCCTTCTGTCTTTATGGAGCATCCCCTATGTGGAGCATATTATTTGTGCCTTGTAAGTTAGTAACTTACTGAGAGAGTAAGAAATGTATCTAACGTTATCTGTCATTAGATTTGGATTCCCAGACATTCCCAATGTATTTGCAAAGTTTGTGTTTGGTTAGCCAGGAAACATTTTGTTACGGAAATATAATAGTTTTTTTTTTTCAGGTTTGCAGAACATTTTTGTTTTTGAACACATTCTCCTGCATCACATATAGGTATTATTAAGTTAGCGACAACAATAAGTTATCACTTAACCGTCATATGGAGGATTAGACAATACAGGATAAAACTAACATTAAAACAAGCCTAGAACATTAAATAATTACTAACTTAATGTGACTAAAGTTATAGCATTACATTCGTTTCTTACCACTGACGTGCGTCTCTTTTGGACAGTAGCCTATTACAAAAACGTCTCCGTTACTATACGGTTTAATATTATTTGTATTAATTATAAAATTTTAATATATTTGAAAATGATTTGCGTTTTGACTAATCTAATCCAGGTTTTAATATGTCTACCTAAACTGTTTACTAAATCTATGTATCCATCTCTGTATCCGAAGAAGGATGAAGTATCTATCTATCTATCTATCTATCTATCTATCTATCTATCTATCTATCTATCTATCTATCTATCTATCTATCTATCTATCTATCTATCTATCTATCTATCTATCTATCTATCTATCTATCTATCTATCTATCTATCTATCTATCTATCTATCCAAATTTGTTTATGTATTTTTTGAGCTGTTAAAGAAGCTGTCATCAAATCACTTGTTTCTTTCCCAACACATATATTATGAAATACGAAACATAATACTAAATAAAATAGTAGTAATACTAATAATAGGCTACACAAAAATAATATATGTAGTAAAAGGCAAAATAAACGTTATAAAGAAAGCTTTTTTTGAACACGATACCAGAACCTCCACAGTGAAGCAGACACACGTGACCCGAGCCCGGAGTCTGTGTTGTTTTGGTGCCGCTATCTCTTTAAGCGCTGTGTGTGTGAAACATGACTCCAGTCTTTTCTCCTCCTCGCTCGCTGAACTCAAGCAGCTCAAGCTCGTCTTGGATGTGCTGACGTGTCGGCAGATCAACAGCTGCCAGCATGGCTGCACGAAATTCACATTTTTATTACGTTTTTACGATTGTTATTTGCGCTAGTTTTCACATAAGCGACGCGGACCGGCGCTTCTCCGACCTGAAGCGATGCGCCGATGAAGAATGTAGCAGTGAGTATCAGGATCACACTGTCACTTCGTATTATCAGGATGCTGACCATAAAACTTTGGTGCTGCTGACGTCATAAAGGCCGAATGTAACTTTGTAACAGCAAAAAAAAAATATGGGTATTTTTTAGTGCGCATAGAGGGTCTATAACGAGTGACGAGTGGCGAGTCCTTGTAGATCCAGTCTGTTGATACCGAGCTCAGTTTAGCCAGTCGTGCTAACAACATAAAAAAAACTGTGCATGGATGGGATAAATGAGAGATGGAGTCTGTGTTTTATGCTCTTAATATGATGTATTCACGTGATGCAACAGTTATTAATGATAAATATAAGGCCTGGTTTCATATCTCTGGCTGTTTTCATGTAAAACATACCGTTCGGAAGGTCGTTATTTACAAACAACATGATTCCGTTCACATTTGATTGAAATGAATTGGGTTGAACTGTGTTTGACCTGTTTTCCTCAATAACTCGCGATAGTTTAGTTAGAAAGTGGATATATATATATATGCTGCTATATATGCCTGCGTATGTGTGTATGAAAGTTTAAGAATATGTTTAAAATTTGCTGTTTTATATAACACACATTCTGTCATTTTTGTTGACAGATTTTTACATTTCATTTAGTAAAAACACTAAACAAAAAATGTGCTCTGTCCATTAGTGGTCGAGCAGAGAATTATGGGATGATAATAATACATAATGCTTATGTTGTTGAGATGTTCAAATGTTTATTTTCACCACATATTTGTACATTTTGATTATTATTTCTTGATCAAAAAGTCCAACGTTTCCCCTGAAATCCAAGAGCGCTTCACCCATATTCCATAATATCCCACGCTAGCGACCTATCAGATGCACTGTTGATCCTGGTGTGGTCATACACCATTAATAAACAAATAAAAAGATCACCATGTAGATAATGCTTTCATTACACTACTGCAAAATATTAAAAACATGGAGTTTCCTAATGCATCTTTATCAGGTGAATCTCAACACAATCTCAAATAGCTAGTAAGCGATTGAAATATTATTTTTTGGTTAAGGAAAATTAAGCCTATTATAGGACCCTTAAGATTTGTTACAAGATAAATGAGATAAATGCTTCATGTAAAATTATTTATCGGTGTTATGTATGCCACATTACATTCAATTTTAAGTCATACAGAAGTTAAAATGCACATTGTACGAGCTAACTTTCACACTGTTTTGTTCTTGCCATAAAGTAAATGCTAGATTTAAAAAGCTTACCATATCCACATTATAAACAAGTGGTTTTCATCCATGTTTTTTGTGTGTCTTTAGTGCTTCTCGTCAGAGGGAAGGCCGCTAAGGATTTCGCGGGGCCGGACTGTCGGTTTCTCTCTTTCAAGAAAGGAGAGACGATATATGTATATTATAAACTCTCAGGGCAGAGGTCGGACATGTGGGCTGGCAGTGTAAGTAACCTGCTAATAATTGATTGATTGATGCTTATGGATGTTGCTGATGATGAACGTATTTGCCATTCGGCATATTTGATTAGTATTAATTTGGCATCGTAAACTCTCTACATTTACTTATTTATTGGGGCTACAGATCATGCATGAATCTTCAATAGCAGAGAAAAGCAAATGACTGTTTATTGTAATCGTAAATGTTTTGATTCCTGTTTTAAAATGATCCAAACCACAATGCATTACCATATATGCTCCATGACAATTTGAATATAAGTATATAGCTAAGGAAAGGATGCATATCTTATTAAAATGGACTATTTTAGCAAGTGTTTATCTGTGCTTTGTGTTACAGTTTAATTTTATTGCCTCTTTAACTGTTTTTAACGCATTTCTATGAATGATATGGGAAATATTGTAACACTTTGCAATAAGGTCTCATTAGTTACATTATGCATTAAATAACATTGTGTTTTATAGCATTTATTAATCTTTAACATTATAAAATACAATTTTACATTTTAATAAATGCTGTAGATAGACGTATTGTTCATTGTTAGTTCATGTTAATTAATGTTGTTAACTAATGAAAACCTTATTGTAAAGCGTTGCTGGAAATATTTTTTAAAATAGATAAATTGACTGATAAAATATGAAGATATTGAGCATTTTCACATAAGTGCAAACTTTATCAGACAGGTTTTGTGCATATTTTCTAATTCTTGTAGATTTGTGCATTTTATTTTCTCATTGGCTTGTTTGTATTTATGATTGTATGTTTTCTGTAAACACTGATCTAAAAGGTGCTTATATTGACATCTATTTCTTCTTCCTCTTTCTGCATAGATTGGAAACCACTTTGGTTATTTCCCAAAGGACTATCTTAATATAAATCATATATATACTGATAAAGAATTGGAGGTACCTACGGAGGTATGTTCATGTGGTTAATATCGCCTGATGCCTGGTCCTTTTTGACGTGACGTTTGGTTAACGTGAAGCTTTCTTTCTCTTTCAGGAAACCGATTTTGTTTGCTTCGAGACTGGCCTTGATAAATTTGAAACGTATGATATAGATGTGCTGTTGATAGAAAATGAGAATTTAACAGAGGAATCAACAGCCCCAGCTCAGAATGAAGATTTATCTCAACTGTCTACTGTAACAGAGACCGAATCAGAGTCAGTCGATTCAGAATCAACATTAATTCTTGAATCAGAGTCAGTCGATTCAGAATCAACATTGCCTATTGAATCAGAGCCAGTAGGTTTAAAATCAACATCGCCTCTTGAATCAGAGTTAGTTGATTCAGGATCAACATTGCTTATTGAATCAGAGTCAGTCGATTCAGAATCAACATTGCCTATTGAATCAGAGTCAGTCAATTCAGAATCAACATCAATTCTGGAATCAGAGTCAGTTGATTCAGAATCAACATCACTTTTTGAATCAGAGAGTTTCAGAATCAACATTGATTGAATCAGAATCAATTCAGAATCAACATTTTTGAATCAGAGCCAGTCGATTCAGAATCAACATCCCCTATTGAATCAGAGCCAGTAGGTTTAAAATCAACATTGCCTCTTGAATCAGAGTCAGTTGATTCAGGATCAACATTGCCTATTGAATCAGAGTCAGTTGATTCAGGATCAACATTGCCTATTGAATCAGAGTCAGTTGATTCAGAATCAACATTGCCTATTGAATCAGAGCCAGTAGGTTTAAAATCAACATCGCCTCTTGAATCAGAGTCAGTTGATTCAGAATCAACATTGCCTATTGAATCAGAGCCAGTAGGTTTAAAATCAACACCGCCTCTTGAATCAGAGTCAGTTGATTCAGAATCAACATTGCCTATTGAATCAGAGCCAGTAGGTTTAAAATCAACACCGCCTCTTGAATCAGAGTCAGTTGATTCAGAATCAACATTGCCTATTGAATCAGAGCCAGTAGGTTTAAAATCAACACCGCCTCTTGAATCAGAGTCAGTTGATTCAGAATCAACATTGCCTATTGAATCAGAGCCAGTAGGTTTAAAATCAACACCGCCTCTTGAATCAGAGTCAGTTGATTCAGAATCAACATTGCCTATTGAATCAGAGTCAGTCGATTCAGGATCAACATCAATTCTTGAATCAGAGCCAGTCGATTCAAAATCTGTAAAAGCTCCTGAAACCGAGACATTGCATTTAAACTCTACTGAGGAGGACTCTGATATCTTTCAGCCAAAGATGGACCATGTCTCATCAAAACCAACACTGGAAACTAAAGATGCAGTAAAAGAAGAGCTCGGAGTTATTTCAATAAGCCCAGATGCCGATGTCACTTTAGAAGATGTCGAAACAGAGCCACCAGATACCGATTATTCTGAGCTTTTGCACAACCAAAGTGAGTCTGATTTCGAGCCTCACGAGCCCTCACAACTTCTACTTGAAACACAAACAGCAGGTTTAGATGCATTACGTGAAGAACCTGCCAAAACAGAGCTGCGTGATAAAGATAACCACTACAAAACACTTGAGGATGAGCATGACTCAGTGACTCAAGAACTCACCAAAGATTCGCTTTCAGTTGCTGATGTCGGAGAAATCCCAGAAATTTCTCATCTGCCACGAGACACTAAAACTGCTTCAGATGCACGTGAAGTCATCCCACCTGAACCGCAGATGCGTGAAAGGGAAAACACTGAGCAAAGCCATCCAAAGACGTTTGACACTAGCGAAAAGGCCAGCATGAACAAGAATGAAAATGCACACAAAGACACTGCAGATGATGATGCACTCGCGAACAAGATCGAAAAAGCGAAAGAATCCATTCACGAAGCAAATGCAACCAAAAGTAGGGAATTGGTTCTAGAAAGCCAAGAAACGGCACCTCCGCTTGACGAAACAGACGAGCAGGTTGATAAGTTGAAGAACGAACTTGTGAATCTACTGAAAAACACACTGGAGTCCGAAGAACAAAGTCTTGAAGAGGACGAGGACACCGAAGAGCTTTTGGAGGATGAGAACGCTCTTCTTTCGCTCACAGAGAACATGAATGAACCCAAAGAAAGTCCTCAACCTGAAAGCGATGATTTGGTTGTTTCCCAACCAACAGAACAAGAAGAAAACGAAGAGGTTCGTCTTCCTCCCGAAGAGCCCGAATACAGCGATAGCGTACTGAGACTCACAATTTTACGAGATCACTTGAAGGACGAGGAAACGGAGCGCATGCAGAAGTATTTCGGACTGAAGAACCTGTTTAAAATCGAAGCCATGTTTTCGGATCTGGATCTGGAGATGAAGTCGGCGAGGGAGCTGAGGACGGACACCGAGGAGATCGAGCGAACGCTGGACCAGATCATGGAGTCCTCGGAGAACTCTGTTCTTGATGCGACCGAAGACATGCTTAATGAAAGAGAGCGCAAAGCTCAGGAAGATGGACTGGAGAAGGAGCCAGAAATGTATGATGTTGAGGCCGCCGTCCTGGACGCATTTCAGGAGATCATTTTCTCTTTGCGACAGAAATATTCAGCGGCCAGTGACAGCGTCCCGCTGCTCGAGGACGAACAACCTGCATCTGAAACAGGTTATGTGTTTGTTTGAATCTCTAACACTATATTTAGCTTTGCCGTATGGGCAACGATTAATCGCGATTAATCGCATACAAAATAAAAGTTTGTGTTTACATAATATATGTGTGTGTAGTGTGTATAATTAATTTGTATATATAAATACCCACACATGCATATATATATTTATTCACAATTAATATTATATATAAATATAAATATTTGATATATTAATAACACATTTTTCTTAAATATACACTTGCATGTGTGGGTATTTATATGTACAAATTAATTATACACACTACACACACATATATATTATGTAAACACAAACTTTTATTTTGGTTGCGATCAATCGCGATTAATCGTTGCCCATCCCTATTTGCTTGTTTCAGTGAGTCATTTCAGGGTTTGGCTTAGATCAGATGCTGTTAAAATTGTTTTAACCTTTTAAAGCCTACTGTAGCTTATTTGATGCATGTATTTTAAAGGCTTCTAAATGATCAATACTTCTCTTATAAACCTGTCGTACACAATCTCATTCGTATGATTGATAGTTTAGACTTTTTTAGTAAGTAAAAGTCTTTGTGTGATTGTACCGTCCTTTAGCTTGTGCTTTTTACAGTAAAATCTGAAACATACGAATAACTTGTTAGTAGGGCTGTCAAACGATTAATCACGATTAATCACGTCCAAAATAAAAGTTTGTGTTTACATAATATATGTTGCTGCACTGTGTATAATTGTTTTGTATATATAAATACACACGCATGCATGTATATTTAAGAAAAAATATTCTTTATATTTGAAATATTTATATTTACATATCATATAAATCTATATAGAGTATATACATGAAAATATTTCTTATATGTATAGCATATAAGCATGTGTGTGTATTTATATATAAAAAATAATTATACACAGTGCACCCACAAATATTATGTAAACACAAACTTTTATTTTGGATGTGATTAATTGCGATTAATCATTTGACAGCCCTAATATAAAATAATTATACACAGTGCACCCATATATATATTATGTAAACACAAACTTTTATTTTGGATGCGATTAATCGCGATTAATCATTTGACAGCCCAAATATAAAATAATTATACACAGTGCACCCATATATATTATGTAAACACAAACTTTTATTTTGGATGCGATTAATCGTTTGACAGCCCTAATTGTTAGTAATATTTCAAGATGAACACATACTGGACTGAAGAAACTTATGTTTACTTGATTATCTAGAAAAATCAGTGAGTATCACATATAATCATCAGGCTTTTGGTGAAGGTTTATTTGTTCATCTCTCATTATCTCATTATTGTAATGCATTGCATTATGTTTTTTTTAAGACTACAGAGCTTAAAACAAAAACTAAGCATTTAAATATCATCTTACTGAGAGATATTATTTGCAGATACAGAGTGACAACTGATATTTATACCATTTTAATAAGTATTATATGCTGTTATAAAGATCTCACTGATTTACATTACAAGCATCAGAATTTTATCTAAAGTGTTGGCCATATAAATATCAGAATCTGCCCCGAATTGCTTATCTGAATAAAATTGGGGTGTTTTTTTCCCTCCATATTCTCACTATAAAATACTATATGAGCCATAAATGACTGATGTACCAAAAATGATACTCAACAAAAAACACACCTGCAAATATATATTATATTTAGTCTTCAATACACGGTTCCATTTTTTTACTATTATTTAATCTCAGGCTTTATATGGTAATATAATAAATGGATAATTATTTATGGAAATAATAAAGATCTGTATGCTCCCCCCCCCGCAGATGAGACAATTGACTCTGAAGAGGTGAAGGGTTTGGACAGTGACATCGAAATGATCGCACCACCTGAAAGTCCTGAAATGCACGAAGAGCTCAACGAATCTGAATTGATTCCGAATTCTGAATTAAATACGAATGAAGATTTATCCCACAGTAAAGACGCAGGTCTTGAGGAGGACGGAGGCCATTTCAACAGAAATAAAGATGCACAAATGGGGTTTGAGGATGCTGAGGAGATTCAAAAGGGGCCTCATGCTATTTTGGAGAAGCCGGTGGACATCGGCTTCCACTTTGAAATGGATCCATCTTCAGGTTTGTGAATTTCTCTTGTTGTAACCTTGGCTTGACATAAACTTTTTGCTCACCAGCCACTGTGGCTAGTGGTTTTCCAAAGTTACTTGCCACTCACCATTTTCACTGGCCAAAATGTTGACATCGATACCATGGGGGAAAAACTGCCATATAGATATTTGTAATATGATTTCATAATTTGGCTGGAGGTATATTAGGCTGCTGTCACTTTAAGACCTGATGCACTGATGCATTATACTGTTACACGTGCGTTTCCTTTCTCAACTGTTTACGTTCACTTAAAACATAATTAACTGTTTACATGAATACTCACCAAGAGTGGGATTTTGTCATTATTTTGTGTATTTGACTGTATTCGCACAATAAGCAGTGAAAAATATGTCAGTTTAGTTCTGAGAGGAGGCTTTATCTGCACGCACTTTGGGTTTGAGCACAAAATCTGCGGGAATGAGTAAAATTATGCGCAATACGTGCTGAAATTCAAGCTCTGTAACACCAACAATATTTATCCAGAGCAAATGAAACGTGTGAGTGAGGAGAGGCGGGTTTGTTTGTCACTCGCTGTCGAAGAGAGAGAGAGAGAGAGAGAGAGAGAGAGAGAGAGAGAAAGCGCGGCTTTTATCATGTATCTGCAAAAAATGAGTATTGGAAGCATTTCAGATATTTCAGTATTGATAAGTATCGAAGTATCAATTTTTCTACTAAGTTTATATTTCAGATGCTTGTTTTTAAAAGACTACAATTGAGAAATATATATTATATATAACATTTAACCTGCTAAAGTGGCTAGTAGGAGTGACTGCGTTACACGCCACTGCTGAAATCCAACGTATTTGGTGGGTGTTATGTTAATATCAAGCGCTGGTTATAATGACTGTTATTTTCTGTCTCCAGGTTCACTGGAGTCTCCAGTCTCTGATTTCCATGACACTGAATCGAGCAGTGATTCCTCCAGCTCCTCGACTTCTGATGAAGTTTTGGGTTCGCTCCTTCTCATAAAAGAAAATCTTGGGGTGTACGGAGAAATTGTGAGTAATACAATATTTTAAGGCATTAAAGATTTATACTTTACACAAGCAGAAGTACATCAATGCAAAAGGATTATTAAAATTGTGTTGCATTATCAGGCATTAGTGTAAATTTCTAGAGTCAATGCAGTTAAAAAAGAGAGTGGTTTGAACTGACAAAAGGAACTTTCTTTATTCCACATTGTCAAAATCCCTTTCAGAGACATTTTAACTGACTTTCATATCTTCAGCGTATGTGTTAATTACTGTATAAGACATGGTGCACGAGTAGCTGGTGTGACATTAATAACAGGATTGTTTTCTGTTGGAGTTTCCTTGGTTCTGAGCAATCTGAGAAATGTGTCTGTAATGTTTTTTGGAGTAATTTGTTGTGTTGGGTTTGTTCATGTTGTTGTTTAGCTTGAACTTCTGTTCACATAACTCAGTCTACAGTAAATGGCAAATCACATGAGACCTCAAGAATGTCTTTTTTAAGATAGAAGGAAATGAAGCCTATTTTTAGTGCCATTAAAATCAACATTTCTTATTACCCCAATGAATACAAAAACTCCTAAAAATATGCAAAATATAATTTTGCTCCAGGATGTTTTTGACTTAACCTCACTAAAATAACTCTGCCACTGACTTGTATTTGTTGTTGAAATATATTCATAAAGTAGTGTCTGTTCTAAGTACACATATTTATTAGGTCTGCCGTGAAAGAAAACCAATAGGGCTCCATGCTAAACTTGTTAATAAAACTCCATACAAGACCAATATGTGTAAAACCATAACTAGATTAAATCCCAAATCGTGTCAATTAAACATTTACATAATTTATAGCACATATTTGAATCTATAACACTGAAGCGTTAAGTTGTTATTCTTTCAAAACCGCTAGCATCAGTGCTAAAGACGGTCCCTCAACCAGTGTGACCAATCAGAGGCCGCCGTCCGCGTCACGTGACCGCTCGCGTACAGAGTGGAAACACTGCTCTTCATGAGAGACTCTTAGCTCAGCGTTTTGAAATGTTGACGTGTTGAAAGAGATCAGTACTGATCTCCCTCTAGCCACGATTTCAAAACATACTAGCTGTATGTACTTATTATCCGTCTGTATACATTATTATTCAAGTTAGACGTGTATTAGCTATCAAAGACAAGCGTGTCAGAGTGGATTTACAGCAGAAAACACCGGCTTCCCGATATGAACCAACGGTCCGCCATTTATACTGTGTTCATCGGCTTCAACCTCCGTCTCTGAGCGCTCGGATACGCTGGTAAATTAGTTAAAACGCTTTAAAAGCATGGATTCACAGGCAGGTCTTACCTCTACACCAGCTGAGATAGAAAACGCAGCCTGTTTCGTCTTCATTCTGTCCAGACTTCAGGAAGTAAGTGTTTCCCCTCTCTAGACTCGATCACTGTCTTCAAGAGTGAGATGTGTGAGCTTTAACGTCTTCAAATGTATAATATTGATCAGTCAGTCAGTATAGATCAGTCCACGGAGTAATGTAATAATGCCATAGTGCTGTATTTTGACCCCTTCTTATGCATGCAGCTCTCTGTTAAGTCCATAAACAATCGGATAAAATCCCGTGGGAACTTGGGAAGAGTTGTAAGTACTTATTATTGGCAGTAGGGTTTCATCAGAGGTGAAAGTCCAGTAAAACCCCTAGTGTTGTGTTTCTGTTGCATGTGGCTGTCTGGTGATAAGGGTCAGTGCTTTAGCTTTGTCAATACAAGTCTAAAAGAGTACAGAAATCGATTTGAAACAGTCTAAGTGGCATTCGGGCCCCTTACTAACTAAACTCAAAGCCGACGAGCAGGGGAACCATGTTGTCAAAGACCGAATTGTTTCTAGAATTGACATAAAACTGATCACATTTGGTGTGTTTTTGTGTCATCCAGGTGATTACTGCTCTTCCAGAGGAATGGCGACCGGGTCCCACTTTCTACGGAGTCCCCTGGGAGCCGGTGCTCGTCACAGTGGTTGTCGGGGCCCTCACGATACTGATGTTCTTCTGGAGGACGGTGCTCGCTGTAAGATATATATTCACACATTTATTTGTACTGTAGAACACTTCTCACAATCACAGCTTTAATTTGAGATTTTTACTTAATGGGAATATGTTTTTGCGCTAATGTCAAATATTCATTTAAAACTAAGCTGATATTTTGGGTTTTGTCCATTATGATGAAATATTTAATGCACTGGATTATCTAAAAATAGGCAGTACTACATTAAAATATAATATGGATGCACGAATGAGGTTTGAAATGATTTTTTTCTGATTTAATATAGTGCTCGCTAAGACATTCAATTCACACATTTATTTGTAAAGCGCTTTTCATAATACACATCATTTCAAAGCAGCTTTACAGAGTAATAATGCATGAGTCCATATTACAATTTAGAGTGATCTGTTATTATCAGAGGAAACTGTCTATGAAAAGTTATGTGTTTCAGAAATGTACATATCACAGTTAGCTAAAAATTTATTAATTTAAACAATGTAACAATTTAAGGCAGAAACAATGAGCTCATTGAAGTAATGACTGCTTGTTAACAAATTATTGACATTTAGGAAAAATCTAGCATTGGTGGATGTTGATTCAGAGTTTGCCATCTTGTTTACATGATTAATGTTTTCATTCTTTTGAGATTGATTCAATTAAATCTGTGCCAATCACCTCTTACTTTCTCCTTTAGATCAAAGGGAAAACCTATCAATGTAAGTCACTTCTCTGCCTCACCATGATTGAGATATCAGCGAAATATGCTATGGCACTTTTATACAGCATACTAGTATACTACTTTTGTCATTTATAATGGATTTTACTGTTTTTAGTCTTCTCAATTTGAGATGGAGCTGCATGATTAATGGTTAAAAGATCACAATCTCAATTCAAACACCCACATGATCTCATTCCTAAATGACGACGATTAAAGCTTAGTGAAATCACAGTGAATATTCAGATCTGTGTTGATCCAGCGAGAGCGGGTGTCATGTATAAGTATGAAACCGCTTCACACTCTTTTCAACCACACAGTATCATTATTTCTGTTACAAATATTCATATCACAGAAGTACTGAGATAAAAGTTTATAGTTTGGATATAAACGCTAATGATTTAATTACAGTAAATCACCTTTTGAAAGTACGGAGGCGTATTGCATTCACTTGAAGAAAAAAAATCTACTCTGTTTTTCTGAATTAACGAGTGAATTTTTCATGAGAAAAAAATTTTTTGCTCTGTTTTTCTGAATTAATGAGTTAGTTTTTCTTGAGAAAAAAAGTTTTTGCTTTGTTTTTCTGAATTAATGAGTTAATTTTTCATGAGAAAATTTATTTTTGCTGTTTTTCTGAATTAACTCATTAATTCAGAAAAACAGAGCAAAAAAAAAAATTCCATTAAAAATTAACTCATGAATTCAGAAAAACAGAGCAAAAAAATTTTTCTCATGAAAAATTAACTCGTTAATTCAGAAAAACAGAGCAAAATTTTTTTTTCTCATGAAAAATTAACCCATTAATTCAGAAAAACAGAGCAAAAAAATTTTCTCATGAAAAATTAACTCGTTAATTCAGAAAAAGAGAGCAACATTTTTTTTTCTCATGAAAAATTAACTCGTTAATTCAGAAAAACAGAGCAAAAAATTTTTTTCTCATGAAAAATTCACTCGTTAATTCAGAAAAACAGAGCAGATTTTTTTTCTTCAAGTGAATGCAATACGCCTCCGTATGAAAGTACATGGCGCTTCACTGATTGTATTAATTACAGTTACACCAGTAGGTGGCGACAAGGGACTGTTAAAAATGTATTTGTCACTGCATGATCTAAAAATAGGCGTTTTTACATTATAATATGAAAATCAGCTAAAAATCATTATAATAAATCTTTTTTTCTCTTTTCTGATTTAACGTAGTTTGAATTGTATTTTATTTCACAGTAACAGAAAAGCAGCTCAGAGACAAGATCCAGCAGCTTCTCAGTGAGAAATCTGATGCTGTTAACAAGATCACAGAATTAAATGACATGGTAAACCTCACTGTTTCTTTCTCTCAACTTCTTTTGAAGGAGATTATTGATGAACCTGATCAGATATTAATGTGTAATTTGTCTCCTCGCAGATAAAACAACGTGAAGAACAGCTGAAAAACTCTGCGAAATCACTGAGTTCCAGCCAACAAGAAATGAAAGGGCTGAAGGTGAATCACAGCAGCAGGATTGATGTGTTCACATCCCAGTTTCATCACTTACACATTTGTTTAATTCGCTTTGTTGTTTTTACTGACTAGAATCATCAGCAGAAACTGCAGAGTCAGTGGGAGGAGATGTCTGGGAGTGTTTCACAGCTCAACCAAAAAATCGTGGACACACAGGAGGAAAATACAAATCTAAATGATAAGGTAAGCTTTGATTCATTTTATCATCTGCCGTTGTGACTTTTCTCTGTCAGATGTTTCAGAACTGTTTTGTTTTTCCTTTGACCAAAGATTGCCAAAATGCACCAGAGAATCGAGAAATACCAGAAAACACTGAAGAACTACGACGAGGAGCGTGCAAAGGTAATTTGTGCTGGATGAGCGGACTTTGGCGGATCCACCGGTTGAAACGAGAAACCTGTAATAATGTCAAACGTTTTGTTGCTCAGAACAAATGAATGTAGTGATGCGAGCAATCTGCTTGGTTACCGTTGCTAACATTGAAAGGTTATCTTTCCACCACTTTTTCTTTCTCTGACGAGCATGGAGAGAGAAGCAGTTTGATTGAGTGAATTATTAAATACAAAATCAGTCATGGAAACTAATACAATCTAAAAGTTCTGTAATCTAACAATATTCCATAAAAACAAGAATTGTTTGCATTTTTAAACTTTTTTTTTTGACAATTCGTGATAAATTATTAAATTATCACCTCATGGTTTTTGTAGTCACTTGACCAAGTATCTGAACAATCCTTCCAGAAAACTGAGTTTTGTTTTGTTCTGTTTTTTGCGGGCAAAAATCCTTGATTGTGCGGCCTGTTTTCTTTAAAAATGCGATGCAATATGGATATTTATGCAATTCTCCCAACACTGTTCTCAAGAGTAATTTCTTATTACTTCCTATGATAAGCAAGCATATACATCACAGAAAGTGTTGGAATATTTCAGTATATTTCTCATTTTGTTTTATTTCAGACCTTAATAAACACATCAAACTTACAAAACATTGATGAGTCAAACAAGTTCTGTAGCTTTACTAAAGGAATAAGCTGCAACTTCTGTAAAAATGAATAAATAAAACATTAAAAAATAAAGTGCGCTCCTGTTTTACAGCTTTTTGATGATGTTCACGTCGCGTAATTACGTCACTTCATAACGTTCCCATGGCAACAGGTTAGGTCACTTCATAACGTTCCCATGGCAACAGGTTACGTCACTTCATAACGTTCCCATGGCAACAGGTTACGTCACTTCATAACGTTCCCATGAAAACAGGTTACGTCACTTAATAACGTTCCCATGGCATCAGGTCACGTCACCTTATAACGTTCCCATGGCAACAGGTTACGTCACTTCATAACGTTCCCATGGCAACAGGTTACGTCACTTCATAACGTTCCCATGGCAACAGGTTACGTCACTTCATAACGTTCCCATGAAAACAGGTTACGTCACTTAATAACGTTCCCATGGCATCAGGTCACGTCACCTTATAACGTTCCCATGGCAACAGGTTACGTCACTTCATAACGTTCCCATGGCAACAGGTTACGTCACTTCATAACGTTCCTTTGGCAACAGGTTACGTCACTTCATAACGTTCCTTTGGCAACAGGTTACGTCACTTCATAACGTTCCCATGGCAACAGGTTACGTCACTTCATAACGTTCCCATGAAAACAGGTTACGTCACTTAATAACGTTCCCATGGCAACATGTTACGTCACTTCATAACGTTCCCATGGCAACAGGTTACGTCACTTCATAACGTTCCTTTGGCATCAGGTCACGTCACTTCATAACGTTCCCATGGCAACAGGTTACATCACTTCATACAGTTCCCATGGCAACAGGTTATGTCACTTCATAACGTTCCCATGGCAACAGGTTACGTCACTTCATAACGTTCCCATGGCAACAGGTTGCGTCACTTCATAACATTCCCATGGCAACAGGTTACGTCACTTCATAACGTTCCCATGGCAACGGGGAAACGGCTGCTCTCGTGTGACGCAAACGCAACATTTTTCAACTTTCTGCTAAGATATACGTGACATTTGCAACGAAAATGTGAGGACAATGAAGTCATGCAAGCCCCGCATATTTTGCATGGAAATCGGCATTTTATGCGGCGGAAGTGGGGCGTATTTAAAAAAACGTTGGCTTATTATACACTAATGTGAGCGCATAATCACGTTTTTCTGGAAGGACTGCCTGAACATTTGTATTGGTTGTCTCATATCCTGAAGATATGAAAATTTCTGTGTTTGTTTTGAATTGATAACAGGTTCATGTCCTCATGGATGAAGCTAAACTCAGAGAAGATGCTCTGAAGGCTCAGGTTCTGTCCTTTGAGAAGGAAAACGGCGCTTTAAAGGAGCAGAAGAAATCTGTAAGTCCTGTTGTCGGAGCTGTGAACTTGCCTGTCCTGTCCTTCCATCAACATCAACACGATCTAAATGATGTTTATTTTCTGACAGCTCCTTCGAGATGCTAAAGACTGGCAGGAGAAGCACAAGAAACTGAGCGAGGAGATCAGGGTTTATCACAAATCCCAGAAAGAGCTGGAGGACTCTCTGTTGCACAAGGAAAATGAGATTGATGTGAGTAAAATTGGTTGCTTATGCAATACAGTGGATGTCCCTTGCTTTGCTTAATTATGAATTATAGTGTGTTCTTCGAAATATAGTCATCCCATTAGGCTTGCTATATGATAGTCGTGTGACCGGTGTTCAGAAGCAACACCAGTTGCATCTCTTGCCCATCGCGGCACTGCACCTTCATTGTTGATTTTTAAAAAAATATATATATATATATATGTGACTGCGTAATATTTGGTGTAAAGGCGCCTATTTATGTGAATTTGTCATTGCACTGTTGAAATTGCTAGTGTTGCGGATCAGGGAGGGTTGCGAGTACATGGTGTAAACTTTTTTTAATGGCGCAATCAAAAAGCATGTCTAATTGAAATTGAAATGTATTATGAATCATTAAACTTATACAACATTTAAAAAATATATATGAAAAAAAGTCACACTAATTCTGTGCAAATTTCATCATTCATCATCAATTTGAATCATATGAAATTAAATAAACCTTTTGTCAAATAACGTGCTGCACAATGAACATTACTGTTAAAATTAAAACATGGATTATTCATGGATTATTCCTTAAATTCAGTTTTGATGAGAATTTATGTGGATTAGTGTTAGTATTATTACATTGGGACATATCTAAAATCTACTGTACAACAGTAATATATTTCTGTCAAGTTAAACCGAACTTTTATTTTGACGGGGCGCCATGAATACCTTTTGAGTTTCTGTGTTTATGTCATTATGATAGTTTTTCTCAAATGAAGGAGTTAAATGATCACAAAGTGACTTTCAGGGTGGAAGTTCATGCATTCGTGTCTTCATATAGGCTTCATATATGATAATCTGTGTGTTTGTCTGATTTGTAGGTTTTGTCCAGCTGTATTGCAGAGCTCAACCGTCTGGGAGCCGGTGATTTTTCTGAACTACACAAAGACGATGCTAAAATGTCTAATGGAGAAGATGCCGGTGAGCACTCTATTAATAACGTACATTTATCTGCGTTTAGTAGATGCTCTTATCTAGAGAGACTCATAAAAGTGCTTTATTGCACCTGTGAAATTCAGAAAGTTATTTACTGAGAAAAGAAGTCCTACCTATTCACCTTTGGCTAAGCCCCGCCCCCCTTAGTTACTGTTGCTACATCCGTCAAACTTCATCTGCGCTCTGCATGGCTTATGCTGTGACAGCTCTTCCTGCTGAAATGTTATCAAACTTTTATAAAGCAGCAAATAAAGTGTCCGATAGAAGTAGGCAAAAGGGACCTATATGCGTTTGAAGGTTATATTCAAGACATACAGGTGAAAAGCAAGAAACCGGCATCCAAAATAGAGGCAAAAGCATAACGTTACCGGTCACAGTCAAAAAATTAACCACCGCATTTCCTACTAATGGAGACGGAGGCTGGGACTAACAATATCATTCGCTCATTCTTTGCTGCGCTGTGATTGGTCAATCTACATTCTAGGGCGTGGCTTAGCCAAAGGTGAATTAGGGCTGCATAGAAATAATCAATTTAGGTCAATAAATAATCAATTTAATCATCATTTTACTGTAAGGTTGCCATGACTACAGCGTTCCGTTTAAGAAGTTTAAGTTTATGGCAGTCTTTGTTTCTTCACTTTCAAACCATCAAACTTGTTTCCAAACCACAGAACCACAGAGAACCCTTAAAGCTCCTCTTTTGTTGATGCAGAGATGAGTTTGTTTACTGTGTGAACGGAGATGCCAAACACAAGCTCATAAATCATGAGCTTAAATTAAATTGCAGCCTTTGCTATTTAAAGGATTAGTTCACTTTTGAAAAAACTTTTGCTGATAATTTACTCACCCCCGTGTCATCCAAGATGTCCATGTCTTTCTTTCCTCAGTCGAAAAGAAATTAAGGTTTTTGATGAAAACATTCCAGGATTTTTCTCCATATAATGGACTTCAATGGGAACCGGATGGTTCAAGGTCCAAAAGATAGTGTTAATAACAGTTTCAGATGCAGCTTCAAATGTCTTTAAACGATGTCAGACGATGAATAAGGGTCTTATCGTGCGAAACGATCGGTTATTTCAAAGCTTATTCCAAAAATGTAACTTTTCTAAGGACAAATGCTAGCCTTGCTCTATTCTGTGAGGCGCGTTTGTAACGTCACGTAATACGTAATTACGTTCAAAAGGTCACGGGCGACGTAGCCGGAAGTACAGAATCAAAATCGTCCGACATCGATGTTTTACCTTTTAATTCCTTTTTTGTAAACGGCGTTTGAGTTAGTTTTCACGTTCAACCAATGCGTTCAACTTGTAAACACTCTGACTCTGTACTTTCGGCTACGTCGCCCGTGACCTTTTGAACGTAATTACGTACTACGTGACGTTGCAAACGCGCCTCACAGAATGGAGAAAGGCTAGCATTTGTCCTTAGAAAAGTTACATTTTTGGAATAAGTTTTGAAATAATCGATCGTTTCGCATGATAAGACCCTTATTCATCGTCTGGTGTCGTTTAAAGACATTTGAAGCTGCATCTGAAACTGTTATTAACTGTCTTTTGGACCTTGAACCGTTTGGTCCCCATTGAAGTCCATTATATGGAGAAAAATCCTGGAATGTTTTCATCAAAAACCTAAATTTCTTTTCGACTGAGGAAAGAAAGACATGGACATCTTGGATGACATGGGGGCGAGTAAATTATCAGCAAAAGTTTTTTCTAAAGTGAACTACTCCTTTAATAACCTCAATAAACCATATCCCGATGTGTCCATCATGTCTGTTTCTTTCAGAGAAAAAGATGGACATCTCGAGAGTGCGAATCAAACAGATGATGGACGTCTCCAGGGTACGTCTGCTCCGGGCTGAGTCTTTTGGAGGATAATTGAACACTCTTCTTATTTCTAATGCCGTTTCTGTTGCGCAGATTAAAGCAACTCTCAGTGTTGTTGAAGACGAGAGGAATCGCTTCATGGAAAGTTTCCTCGCCGAACAGAAATCCAGACAGGAGCTGGAGGGTATGAACATTGTGATTTGTGTATTTGAATACATTGCAGTTTGCGTTCCACATCCTCTTTTAATCCTGTACTGTTTTTCTTTTTTAACTAGAGCAATACCAGAAGGTCATGCACGACCAGATGAATCTGAACAATGAAAAAACGCACCTGGAGAACCAGTTCAAGAGCCTGCAGCAGAGACTCGAAATCACCACCGAACTCTACCAGCAGAAAGAAAACGCCCTGCAACAGTGAGATCACACACATTATTCACACTGCACACAATGAGCAGGGCTGTCACTTTTATGAAAAAATCCCGAGACATAAGTATTCATTAAATCGATTCTCCACGTCTATAGACTTTTCCATTTTCAATGCCAGATACAGGCAAATCCACGGACACCTAACAGGCATTAGGACGAGCGTAAAGAGGGTGCTCAAGTCAGCAATATTTCTGATGATTTATTAGTGTGAAGTTTCAACATTCAGGGATTGAGATTAACACACTCGACTCGCCAAATGCGGGTAAAAATGAACTTTGGCGGGAAATGCTGTCAAATCATGAGCCGGTTTGGCGTTTCTCACTTTGCCGGGAATCAGCATTTTTACTTAACGTTAAAATGAAACACTACAGAAGGCGTTCTACTAAAATATTATGAATAGCCTTAGTCTATTATCATAAAACTATTATTTTATGATAATAGTCAATTAGGGTTGTGCTGATAGTTGATGATATTGTTTATCAGTGATGCCTGATACCTTTGATTTTCCCATTAATGTATTCAATTTATAGTGTTTTGATTGGCTATTATTATTAACAAATTTATATTAGGGCGTACAATTCATTTCCCCCCCATAATTTCATAAAAGGAATCGCCTCATAACACGTATGAGGATTGAGCACTCCTCGATGAAAGTGATCTGACAAAACCACAACTTGCATCAAAATTTTATGTCAGGTTTATCGATTCATAAATTGTCAGGGGTGTTTGTTGTAAAAGTTAAGCGGCATTGTTTTTCATCAGCATTTTGTTTTGTTTTTCTCCATAGAACTTTAACGAAACATTTTAATGAAACGGATAAAAATACAATTATAATAATACCTTTTATTTGTTTCAAGACACCCAAGAACACCTTACACAACAAAATTAAACATAACAATAATATCATTAGTAAAATAAAAAATAAAAAATACAATTAAAATGTTAAGATCCAGGAAATTAGAGACGAAATGTTGGAATTTATGTTGGATTAGCTAATCTGAACAGATGAGTTTTAAGTTAATACAATACTGCTAAAATAATGCTAATAACAGTCTCGATAGGTCCGAACACAACACAATAACCGGCCCGCTTTCACACAGCTGTTGTGTATGAAGCTGCATCCTAAATGATCCACATATCTGACTCAACTTGTCTTAATTTCAAATAAGGACTGAATTTCATTTTGCTGCATAAACTAAACAAAACAGCTGAAGTTAGAAGTTCCGATATGAATCGAATTTATGCTTTCCATGTGAACAAAGCATCCCGGATTCATTCGAACAGCAGTAGTTCGACGTTAGAAAGGCTTGATGAGCTTGGTTTGTGCTCAGGAAATTGACTCAGGAGGAGCTGGAGAGACGCGAGAAGGAGACGAAGCTGACGGAGGTGGACAGTAAAGCGCTGCGGTCGGAGGAGGAGCTGAGAGCTCTTAAACAGAAGATCAAGGACATCGAGGAGGAGATGCAGCAGAACGAACGCTCTCTGAAGTCTGAGGTGAGACGCTCATCATATGCAAATGATTTCTGAAGGGTCATGTGACACTGAAGACTAATGATGCTGATAATACAGCTTTGATCACAGGAATAATTAAAAACAACAACACTCTCAATCTGATGTTTTGTAGTCTCAGTGGGTTGGCATTTTATTTATTTATTTATTTTTTTTGGCACTGGCTGATAGTGTCGAAGCAATGTTATTATTATTTTTTTTTTACTTTATTAACTTTTTTTGTAACATTTAGTTTACTTTGTGCTTTTGTCAATTTATTGTTAATTCCGTTTTTAATTTTTTATTTATATTTTTATTTATTTACGCTTAATTTCATTTAGCATCTTTTTTTTTTTAAATAGTTTTATTTAAAGATAACCCTGTTTGGAAGCTGACTTAAGCTTGACATGCATTTTTTTGTTTTTTGCATTTTTTGTTTTTTTAATAAATTGCACAAAAAATTGACATTTGACAAATTATGATTTTTATTGCAGCAATTGTTTACATGTGCTATTCACTATCATTACATTAAATAGTGCTATCTTTCCTATAGGTGGCAGTCCAGGAGAAGAAAGCCCATGAGAACTGGGTGAGGACCATGTCTTGTTAGTCTTTATAATGTAAACCAGTAGTCTTTTGTCTTTAGGGATGCACTAAACAGACTCACTATCCTATACAGACTCACTGTTTGATTTTTCTATATAAAAATATATATATATATATATATATATATATATATGAAGAGTTCAGATGCAAAAGCCTCTAAATGCCATTTGAAATTTTCTTCTAGAATGATCATTTTTATCAAGCTTGTATATTTAAGTTCAGTAATTTCACTTAAATTGCAATGAAGATTACCTATTAATTGTCATTTAAGTGAAATCACTGAACTTGAATATATAAGCTTGATAAAAATGATCATTTTAGAAGAAAATTTTAAATGGCACTTAGAGGCTTTTGCATCTGAACTCTTCATACATCTACTTGTTTACTTCAATAAAGTAACTACTTGTTGATCTTCAATAGTTGAAAGCGCGCGCCTCAGAACGAGCTCTGGTGGAGGAACGGAGAGAGTTGGCCAACCTTCGTCAGAAGTGAATATATATTTATCAAATCACTGTTTAAATGCAATTTGCTGTTATTTTTCGTGTTGTTTCTGAACTCTGATGTTTGTGCATTTATAAAGGCTTGTGGAGTACAGAGATAAAATCTCAGACATGGAGCAAAGCTTGTTCAAACACAACTCTGGACCCACGGATCGCCACATGCCGCCACCGCGGAGAGGTGAGCACTTACCGTCCTCTAATGCCGCTTTTCCACTGCATGGTACAGTGCGGCTCGTAGTTGATCTGTGCGCCGTATGGTCCAGCTGCTCCCCGGTCCATAACACTGGTGGTTTGTGGATTAATTGCAAAGTTAAGGACAGTTTATCATTTTAATGATTTTTTCAGTCCTGTTGGTTTAAAGATCAAGTGCAGAAAGACTGGAACTCGTGCACTTTTCCTTACCTTTATCTATTGGTGCATGCACTGTCATGTGCATGCAAAACTAAGTCAAAATGCCCGCCTTGACGAGTTTCCTCGTAAACGTAGTCGGTTAACAGAGAACGAAAACGGATGCTTGTCATCACCGGTATTGAATGCACGCATTCGTCTTAAAGTGACAGCAGCCCAATTTACCCGCAACTGTTTGTGTCATGAAAGTTAATCAAACAACAAAAGAGAAAGAGAAAATAAACAAAGATAAATTGCATTAGTTATATGAATCATATTTAATTAAGGCTATGCAGTGTTATTTTTTAAATTTGTCTATACCTCAATACAGTTAATTTACCTGAATAACATAAAGCACTGCTTATTTTATCTGTATTTTTTCTATTGTATTTGCTTATGATTGTAATTTATTTTCTGCGCAGATGCACTACCCTACAAAATGGCCCCAGTCATTCTAGAATGATCAATTATTTCCAAATAGAGCTATTTAAATCATCAGTTGAAATGTTCATATCGCAAAAAAAAAAAAAAATATATATATATATATATATATATATCAGTTTCAAAATATCAAAAAAAAGTCAATATATATATATATATATATATATATATTAGGGATGCACCGATATGAAAATTTTGGCCGATACCGATAATTCTTTATATTTGAAAGCCGATAACCGATATATCGGCCGATAAACTTAAATCCAAATTTTTATCTAATTTTGAGAGCCTGATTACAAAAACAAAAGTCTCACAATTAAATCCACGTCCCAAGCGCACAATTATAATGATGTTCTCATTATAGTGTTGTAAAGCCGATATGACAGATTTGCGTTGCACATGTTGTCCCGAACCAGATTTTCATTTTTTGAAGAGATTTCAATCATATTTCAAGAAATTCAAAAACATAAACAGTTCTCAACAAGTGTCTCAGCTGAAGGGAATAATACATTATTTATCGGCTTTAATATATCGGACACATTTTCTTACCAGGCCGATAACGATAACATTAAAAATGAACATATATCGGCCGATACCGATATGCTGGCCGATATATCGTGCATCCCTAATATATGTATATATATCTCAGTTTTTCCCAGTATTGTGCAGCCCTATAATGCAGTGTTAAGATTTTCCTCTGATTGTGGTTTGGTGTGAACAGGTGATTCGTACGGGCCGTCTCCTGTGAGCGGGGGGGCTCCCTCTCCTCCTCTGATGATAGAGGGTCCCGGACGCCCCCCCTCCGCACCTGCAGGGCGACGGGGCGAACCGTTCGGTGAGTCTTACCATCCCGACTCGCAACTTTATCCTCCTCCTTTCCTTTTTCCAGCTTTCCTGTGTTTGAGTCACTCTGTTTTTAGAGTTCTTCTCTCATTTTCTGTTGTCATTGGCAACGCTCCTGAGCTCCAGTGCCCGGTTGCATAAACAACCTTAGGTGTAATTTTCCCGTAAAAAAAACACCCTTAGATTTCTCTTAAAGGGGTGGTTCAGGATTTTTGACATCGGGCCTCATTTCCACGTTAGCCTGCGTGTTATTTATCAGTGGAGACGGTTTTCATAAATGTTCAAACGCTCCGCAATCGAATTTTATAACGGCAAACCTGGGTCGCTGTTGTGAAACACTTGACGGTTTAAGAGATTATATGCAGCACTTTTAAGTCATTTCCTTATCTGAGGACTCGGTACTTAGTCTCATACTTCAGGGAAAATCTTAATCAATCATGCACAGATGTTTAGTCCTCAAACGATTGATAACGAACGACTCCTGATCTGTTCCAGGTCCACGACCCCCGTCTGACCCTCACGGACGCTTCTCAGACCTCGGACACCCGCTGCCATCCCGACCAGGTGCTTTTGATACAACCCGTAGCAAACCAGTGAAAACAGCAGAGATGTATAAAGTACTAGAAACCTGGACTTGAGTAAAAGTACAAGTGCTCCATCAAAAAAGTGACTTGAGTAGAAGTTGAAGTGCTCTTTAAGCACCACACTTAAGTAGAAGTACTAAAGTATTCAAAAATTTTTGTACTTAAGTATTGCAAGTAGTTTATTTTAAAATTCACTACTTAAGTACTAAAAGTTAAAGTACAAGTATTGTGTCATGTAATTATTAAAGAAAGCAGTCAAAAGTTTGAACTAGTAATCAAATTTGCTTTGGTGGCCGCCAAAAAAATGTCATTGCAGGACAACCCCTGCATTAGTTGTCAATGTGTGTGTCAATCAATATCATTACCCTATAAAACTGGCATGTGATTTAGGCAGCATGAAAGCCAAATTGCAACGAATGATTGGTAAAATTTTTATAATTGTAATGAGTAACTAGCAGAACATTAAAAAACTATCAAAGTAAAAGTATTAAATTCATCGAAAATAACTACTGAAGTAAAAGTAGATGTATGAGAAAAAAACAATACTCTAGTAGAGTACAGATACAGCATTTTAGTACTCAAGTAGTTACTATAATAATGTGTAATATTTGTAGAGTTTAAAATGTCTGTTTTCTATGTGAATATATTGTAAAATGTAAGTCATTCCTTTGATAACTGAATTTTCAGTATTATTACTCCAATCTTTAGTGTCACATGATCCCTCAGAGTCACATGATCCTTCAGAGTCACATGATCCTTCAGAAATCACTCTAATATGATGATTTGCTGCTCAAGAAACATTCCTCATTACTATTAGTTGAAAACTAGTAATTAATGAAAACTAAAACTGACAAGTAATGGATCCTTGCTGGAAAAAAGTATTAATTTCATCATCAAAAAATCGTACTGACCGTAAACTTTCAAAAACAGTAGTGTACCGTTTTACTGATATTACTGATATGGCATAAATAAATACATTTATTAACTCCATTTATTAACATTTAAATACTCTAATACTGTAAATAAAATAAATATTTCAAACATGTTGGATTTTTATTATTATTATTATTTTGGTTTGCATTGCAGTTTTGAGTTTGCCTAACTTGTCATTGTCTTTTTCAGAAATGTTTCCTCCGATGACATCATCACCATGCGCACATGATGGACCAATGGTAAAGATCAGTTGTTGTTGGTTTTTTTTTTAGTGTTTTTTTCTTTCTCAATGTTCACATGTGAGCAAGCCGATCTCCAGTAAATGTCATGCATATGTAGATGTTGTTCTTCATTAAACGGCGGTGGGTGTGTTTGCTTTGAAGCAGACCGCACCGGTCACAGAGACGGCCGAGCAGGTCTCGTCTGAGCCCGTAGAGCCCGTGAGTACAGCGGCTGGGTGCTGGGATGGATGGGATGGGTTTGTGCACAGTGGCAGGGTGCAGATGACACATTTGGTTGTGGCTCATGGCTTTTGTCACTTGTGTTTGGGTCTTCAAAGCCTGATTAAACACAAGTTTTGTTCATCAGGATGTGTTCCTTCTCACTTTCTAATCACCGTCTTGGGTCTTGTGCTCAGAATGTTGTGGTATGTTTAACAAAACTCATGTTCCAGCATGTCTTACGCCTGAAACATACTCTACGCAAGTACGCATGCCAATGGTTTATTATAGCAATGCACGCTCGGTTTGGTTACAGTGCAGCAAAACTCTGATCAGCTCAAGTACATGTTCTACCCAGGGTTAGTATAGGAAACTAAAACATTTTTGTTACTTAAAATAATATAAATGTTTAAAATAACATTAAAAACCATTAGCGGTGGTTAGTATGCAGGATAGAAAAAAAAAAAAAAACATGTTGAGATTATTAAATAAAATTGAGAATGGGTCCAAATTAAAGACTTGGGTTTAATTAAGTAACGTGCAATAAGATCGCAACATGCGTCAGGTTTATTTCAGTTACTAATTAAAATAGTTATTTCCAACATTTTTTAACTACTATAGTGTAAAAAAAAAAATGTCATTAATTATATTTTACTGTACAATTGTAATTTAAAACTCGAATTATCAAAAATGAACAGAAATATTAGAGTTAGACTAATAATAATCACTTTTAAGTATTAATAATTAATCTCGAGACGTTGAATTGTTAAGCTTTAGAGTAACAATGAAAGAAAATAATTTAAGACAAATATTAGTATTGTAACTTGTAGTATAAAAAAAATGGTGTAATTGTAATTTACAACAGTAATATATTTTTCTCAATTTATTAATACTCAACCATTATATTAATTATTTTTATTTAACAATTAACTGATATATTATAATAATAATAATTAATTTAATTGGGTTCCTAAAACCAGTATAACTAATAAACATCAGAGAACCATGAACATGATAATGTGTCGTTCGATTATTGAAATACTAACTTAAAATCTTCAAGTATGTATAATTTTGTGTCTGCTGTTGCGTTCTTGTTTAAAGTATGTTTCTGGTCTTACGATGGTTCTCTGACATCTGCTTGGGTCGGTTAGCAGGAATCCACCGTTAAATCGCCCCAGTATAAATTATTCTTTAATAAATAATTATTATCTTCTCTTCCAGCTCTCCAAGTCTCAGAGTCAGGGATCTTTCCTGCCGTCTCCTATCCGGGATTCTCCGGTTCCGCCACCCAAGTCTTACGGACCCCCGATCATGCCGCTCAATGGGCCGCCGCCGCCAATGATGATCCGACCGCCCAATGGCCACCTTCCCATGATGCCCCCTGAGCCTCGCTTCAGACCGCCACACATGGATTCTTACGGCCCTCCTCCGATTGGCCCATATGGAGCTGTACCGCCACCATTTGGTAAGATATCCGACACTGTTTTTAATGACAGATTTATTCAAACATACTCTAAATAACAAAGACATTACTATCAAAAATATAAATATAGTGTATACATTTAGCAAAATGCTCTTCTCTAGAGTTATTTTTGAGTATGACCCCACATTGAAATGAATGGGAAATGTGAAAAAAACTAAATATATTTTCTTCACGTGTCAAAAAAAAAAAATCCGGCATAAATCTGAAAATTTTTACACAGAAATGAAGGCCTAGTACTAAAACATTAATAAAAAAATATTTAATATGCAAGCTAATGGTGTAGTTGAGGAATTGTGTGGTATATGGATACAAAAGTACTTTATATCTCCAAAAACACAGTATTAATGAATAGAAAACAAAAAAAGGTATATTATTTGTATGATTAAAAATGTGTATTTTTTTGTACAATTACTCAATCAATTGTTGGGGGTCATATAGACCCTGAAGTGTAAACAGGAAACAAAGACCATTTGAAGGTTAAACGCACTATTCAGTTTTAATCCCTGTCAAAAACGGTGCTATTTAAACATCACTGTCACTTTTTTTAGACAAAAATGTATTTTTTCTGAAACTTTCCATAACATTTTGTTTCATCAGTACGAGGCCCACCGTTGAGACCCCTGCCTCCACATCCACTCGGACCGCGCGATATCCTGCCCGAATTTTTCGGACCTCGAGGTCCCTTTCCTCCCGGATCAATGATTCCTCCTCCATACGCAGGACGTGGTTTCCCGGGACCCGCTCCGCCGATTCCTCACGGCTCCAGAGACGGTGACGGGAACGCCACACCAGCCAACGTCCCGTCGACGGACGGCTCCGATCAGAACGCCAGCGGATCCACAATGGCTGAGCCTTGAGAGTAGTGTTGTCATAAGTACAGACTTCGGTACCAAGTCGATAGCGGGAGCATCTGATTGGCCGTTGTGTTCACGAGCTCATCGGATATGTCTGTGATTGGCTACAGTGATCAACACACCGAAGCGTTTGAAAGCACAACCAGGATTGATCCGCTGATAGGCACTCGTTTCTAATGCTCGCATGTGTAAATGTTCGCTAAAGAGCGCCATTGATGTATATTTACATATTTTTGAAGCGCTAATAATTGTAGCCAATCACAGACATATTTGATGAGCGCGTAAACAAAATGGCCAATCAGAGGTGTTTACGATTCTGCTCAACAGCGCAAGTCGTTACTTTTGACAACACTTGAGTGAACAAGCCGTTTTGTCAGCTCGACTTTGTGCGGTCTTGATTCTTTTCGATATTTAAGCATCGAAATGCCACATCTGGTCTGGGTGGGAAGATAAACTCAAGTTTGATTTTGTGCTTAATTTTGTTTCAAGAACACATTTGTGACGGAAATTATGAGGGTTTTGATTTTATATACATTAGCAAACCTTTCCTATGGAAATAGTTTTGATTTAATATACGTTTAATTTTCTTTTTCCGGTGGTTCAAATTATTATACCTACCACTCACCCAGTGCTGATGCATATTGGGATATCAAACAAAATATTTCGGCACGTGAGACAAACCTGTAATGAAGCCATTTCCTCATGCCTTTAATGTGAGAGGACTCTGAATTTTTATGCCTTTTTCAACATTTTTGAATGCACGTTATTTTCCCGTATTACTGTCCGGTCGCTTTTAGTCATGATTCGCGAGCTCACCTGTTTGTTTTAACTTTGATTTTGTCGTGCGTCTGCTCTTATGATTTCTTTTCCTAACGGAAAGGCACATATGATGTCATATTGACAAAGTATTTATACATTTCTTTCAGCTGCGTATACAAATAAAATATTCTCATAAAATCAGACGTCCCTAGTGTGCTCTGATGAACTTCTGAGTTTTCATACAGCCAAATGTATTAATGAGTGTTGGACTGTAATGTTTGTGTAGAGATAAAAATCATCTCACGGTCGCGATGCTTTTTAATAATGAAACGTGAGCAGAATTAATTTGCGTGCAACAAAAGATTTGAATTGTTCTTATGTAAATTGCTGCATTGAATTCAATGTCTGTTTGCATAAAATTGTAAAAATATTTCTCATTCAATTCACGCAGGAATGATTTTACGAGGAAACGATTCACTGGATTGCAATAATTTACATAGTTGTTTTTATGAACCATTTACTCTCATCTTGTTTAATTCACAGAATGGTGTTACACCAGAAGTGCACAGAAAATCATTCTGTCATGTTTCATGAACGAGGCCCGTGAATGATGTTCTCTTGGGTTTTTTGATGCAATGCTCTTGGAAACAAAAATACTCCAGTCCTCAAAATCCATAACTTTTTTTTTTTTTTTTTTGTGGCATATACTGTTTTGTTGATATTAGAGTAAATTATTTTAGTACGTGTGTTAAGAGGATGCATCTAAGAGTGTCTGCATCATGTGTTGAAATCTTAGGAAGAAACGGTTTTAAAAATAAGTGGCATTGATTTCGTGGGAATGAGTGATTTGAATAAAGCTGCTTTTTCCTGTAGTTTTGATGAATGTGTTTATTGTCAAATCCAGCATTTCTAGTCAAGTCAAGTCAAATATATTTATATAGCGCTTTTCACAATACAGATTGTATCAAAGCTGCTTCACAATATCAATCAAGACAACTTAACAGTGTTTGTTTATTCATGGGGGGAAAAAAGAATCAAGTTTGGTAGAGCTGATCAATGATGGGTCATTTAATTTTAATATCATTTCTGTGCAATTTATCTCAGCATTTTTCAACACCGGTCTAGCTGATATGGACTAAATAATCTAGGACATTCGCAGTTAGCAAGACGCCTAAATACACCCTAATATTTGATTGTCATTGATTTAGATAACAAATATTAAACTTGATTGGTTATCTCTTTTATGGAGCATGCACAAATTTAAATGATTGACAAATAGAAGTTTGCATGGTTTGAAATACTAAAACGATAGATGTGGAGTTACAAATAATTAACCAAATGTTGACTTGTGGTGTTGTTTTTTTTCTCTAGGTGTGTCTGTGGTTAGTGGATACACCTGTGTGTAATACATCCACTAAAGATATACAAAACACCAGCTGATTCGAATGCAATCAAGGTCGGAGATAAAATTTGATAATCTAATTCAATACATTTTTATTTAAGTGTAAATCTGCGCCTTCCTTTAGCAACCTGGCAGGAGAATGTATGGGAGCTCACTCGGGACTAATGCATTTTCCATAAATCCAGGTAATTTGCATTTAGTAAATCATACCAGCATATCCTCAATCATCTTTGATTCAAGCAGCATTGTCATTTATTAGAAATGGGACGTTTTAAAAACAGATAGACATCGTCTATCAAACACTCTTTACAGAAATGCAGTACTTCATAACCATTTAGTTGGTTTTGATGATTCCGAGACTCCAACATTGACATTTAATACAACATAACAGCCTGATGGGAAAAGCATCAGTTTATTTCCTTAATACAATTTTTTTTATGTGTAAAGATCCTGTCAGAAACTGTCCCGAAGTCAATCTTCCACAGAAATCATTTAGTTGTAGTTAAACTTGGTAAAAACAGTTTAAGACGGACGAAAATTACAAATTAAAACCGCAATTTTCTCAAACTAACCAAAGCAAAGTGCGGAGCTAATTACAAAACCGACATGCTAATACTTAATTTTTCTCCCTTCTTACGGTCAAATTCCATATATTTACTGGCTTTCTGATTAATTCTCAAATAAACTTCTTAAATATACATTATTGTGATAGATCTTCCATATTAAAACGCCAAAGGCCACATTTCAAACAAGTATGCTAATGCTAAACGTATATTAGCGAGAAGTAATTAGTTAAACGTTAGCTAACTGTTAAACCAGTTGAGAAAACCTGAATATATCTCAAAAACCAACAAATTTATATATTTGAGTTTGTTTGTCGGTGTTGTTTCTTCAGGGTTTGTATGTAGGCCTACTCCATGTGTATATAGCTATGCTGCACTCCATAAAACCAACAAGCCTGCCTGTTAAACATTTAAAGCTCACCAAAAATGTAATGTTCAGTCTTTATTCACTCTCCCTCAAATAGTTCCAAACTTCTATGCTGAATTTCCACCCACAGAATGAGCACATGCACACATACAAATCAAGTAATTGAAAATCTCAACAGATTCGATGTTTTAAGAACTAAACAGAAACCTAGTGAATTAGTCAATGGGCTATTTTTATGTTTTTGTAGACTATTAACTGTCACTGAAATGTGAAAAATCATCTCTCAAAATAATAACAGCATACAGGTTTGGAACATGATGGGGAGCAGTTTCTTTAATTAAATAAAAATGTAAAAAACAAAAAAAACCAAAAAAAAAAAACCAATGGGAAGTGTTCTCTGTGTTCATCAGAAATCAAATACAGAACATTTCTTTGTAGCCTACACCATTCAGTTTTTTTTAATACTCGTCTCTCTTTCAGATGAAGAGCGGTGGAGACATCACTGAAGATATGAAGAAAAGAGTCCGATATTGCAAGGAGTGTGAGTCGACACACTGAGTGTATCCCTCTCCTGTCCTTCATGTGTTTGGCTGTATGATCTTTATTTAGTCTTTGTGCAAAATCTGGTTTAGGTGGAGGTAAAGTGGTTTCTTCGTCAGGAGGTTGAGCTTTTTCCTCTTGAAGTCAGTTGGTTTCTTGTACCTAAAACCAGATTGCATTGCATTTAAAGGGATCGTTCACCCTAAAATGAAAATCCATTCATCATATACTCACCTTGGAGTTGTTCTAATGTCATATGCTCTTATGGACAACAGGAGGAGGATTAAAAAAAAGAAAGAAAAAAAATGTCCTGCTCGCACTCATACATAGCGACCGGCATTAAGCTTTTAAAAATGACAAAAGTATCACAGAATGATCACATGTGACGCGTATCATATATTTAAAGTGTTTTGGAGGTATACGTTTCACCAAATCCTGTCGTATCCTATATTACAAAATTTTCCTTTTGTGGTCCACAAAAACAAAAAGGGCATACGGCATTAGAACAAGGGAAAGTAGTACATAAACTATTGTTAACTAATTGTTTGTTAGTTAAATGTAGATGCAACTAATATTATACTCACAATTCTATAACAATGGGACCTGGTTTGATTTCATCCATTTCCATGAAGGCAAAACACTTCGTGCTGGTGAACCTTTTCTTGGGTTTGTAGTGTTTGAATTCAAAGAAAATAGCGGTGCCTACAGAAAACACACACGATAGTGACCAAACGCAAAAATATAGTGTAATGTTGACACCTTACGATAAGGTTTCATTTGTTAACTACCATGAAGTACCAATAAAATACTTTTAAAGCATTTATGAATCTTAGTCAATGCATTATTAGTTGTATCTGGACCCGAGTTAACCCGAGTCGTATTTGTATCGACTAACATTAACATTATTGATAATTGCACATTGTTAATGTAATGCACAACGACTTCTTCAGTTACGTGAGACCTTTCGGTAGTTTTTCTAGATGCTTCTGGATTTCCACTTCCACGCTAAAATGAATATACGTGTCCTCTTTCCGCGTGGCCACTGGAGTCTCCTGAACTGGATTCAAGTCTATACCGTTGAGATCTGGAGAAAGAAACAGCGAGAATATGTAAGAAAGTGTCAGCGCAGTAAATCTGAGGTTCAGAAACGCTGCTGAGCTCCACCTTTACCTTTAACACTGACTGTGATGTACGGGTCGATACACTGTCCTGCGTCTTTCAGACCGATCTTCTCTATCGCCAGCGTGAGCAAAGTCATTCCCGGCTCCGAGGGTAACCGTGGCAACAGAGTACCTGTCAAAGACGTCAAACTTTCATTAAAACTATCCACCAATGAGAATTTGTTTGCTTATTAACAAACTAAATGGAGCAATTGGCACTGTTTAAAGACGCACTGATTCAATGACTCACTCAAAGACTTCACTGAATTGTTTTGAACGAATCTCTTGAATGATTCAGTGATAAACACATTTTTTACAGTCACTAGTCTCCACCAACTGGTGTAACTGTAATTAATACAATCAATGAAGCGCCATGTTGATATCGAAAGGTTTTTTTTTACTTTTATCTCAGTACGTCTGTGATAATATGAATATTTGTAACAGAAATAATGATACTGTGTGGTTGAAAAGACTATTTGTGAAGCGGTTTCATACTTATATACATGACAACCACTCTCTCTGGATCAACAAGCTTTAATAGACGGTGCTGAATCGTTGTCATTTAGAAACGAGATCATAAATCTATAAATCGTGCAGCTCTGAAGTGCATTAGAAACACGTGCAGCTGAGCGTCGTGCACTATGTAGGGATCACCTGGCTCCCTTGAAGGGAATGATGGTGTTGAACCTGCTCCAGTCCCAGCGTCCAGCTCCTCCTCAAAATCCAGGTTTTCCTCCTCACCCGGTGCAAGAATCTTCCTAAAAACACACAGAATTAAGTATTAATAACTGTATCGGCAAAAACATCTGTAAAAAGTAAATATTGTGCAGATAATCATTATAGAGAGCAACAGTCGAGTTCTGAAAGTAAAAACTCATTCAATTTCTCCATTAGGAAATATATTTTTAACAATAACATCTAAACCGTTAAAGACAGCCCTACTGTGAGCTACGAGCTTATTAATCGATGGTGTTTGCTTCTGCTGAAGCCGTCAGTCCACATCATTTCAACTTACTTTTAAAATAACCATGTTTAACAGACAAATTTGTGGTGAAAAACTACATTTCCCATGATGCCGTACAGAAAATTCCACCAATTAGAGCGCCAAAACAGCTCTTTAGCTCTGCTTACTCCCATGAAGCACTGTGAAGTAATCAACACTTCTGAGATTAGTAGTTTTATTTTTCTCTAACATTTTTAATGCTATTATGCTGTTTGCAAAGCTTCATGGGATTGTAGTTCTTTCGTTCGCTAAAGACCTTGTCCGATTTTATAAATCCTTTGTTTGCGATGTTATGATTCTCCTCGTCAGCTTGATTTGTGGCTTATAACGCTTTAAAGATGACTTTTTTTGAATTTCCTATCAGAGAAATGAATGGAAGAAATACTTCCGGAACCAAAAAGGCGGCGGGGACTAATGCATTGGACTGACCAATCAGAATCCAGCACCAGAACGCTGAAGAATTACCTCAAAGGCACTGGTTGGACATCAAAAGGGAAATCTTTGTTGTAAGTCAGAATATTCTTTATAACTGCAGAGAAACAGAAGAATAGCAGTCATATATAAACTATATAAATAGATATCAGCACTATTGATGTTTTAAATGGGTGTTAACCCTGGGAAAATGTTGTTGCTGTTGTTTTTAAATGGAAGAGTTTATTGTACCTTTACTTAATAATATAAATGATGAATATCTAAAAAAAAAAGTTTGTATATGTTTTGTATAAAAAAAAACAATTTATTCAAAAGGCACAAATGATACAGTAATTCATTCATATCCACATATTTATGTAGGCTACATACTGGGTTCCAGTTTTTTCAGATCTTCCAGCTTGAACTCCTCTTGAGATTGTGTGCACTGACAAAGACAAATAACAGAGATAGTTGAAGATTATCAGCATTATCAGTTATTGTATTCACAATGTGAGATAATGCTTTTCTTACTTAGTATTTTTGTCTTGTTTCCAGTCCAAATATCTAAAAATTCTTAAATCAAGATGCATTTACTAGATGAGTAAAATGCCATAAAATATTATGTGTTGTTTTCAGGGGAAATAAATCAAAATTAAGTGAGGTGTTGCTTAAAAGAGCTAAATTATCTGCCAACGGGATAAAAAAAATATCTTCATTAATACAGAAACAAGAATATTCTTCATTATCCCGTTGGCAGAAATGCTTGTTTTAAGCAACGACTCACTTGATTTTTTATACAATTCCCCAGAAAATAAGAAATAATGTTTTATGGCATTTTACTACTTTAATAAATGCATCTTGATATTTGGACTGGAAACAAGTAAGAAAAGCATTTTTTGCAGTGTTAAATTATGCAGTGCCATAATGATTCATGCACTTTCTTTATCAAAACCACTAATTAACTTTCACTGACCTGTAAGGCTGCACTTCGCATTTCAAGGCATGTTGCAAACTTCCCCAGGGTTTTCTGGAAGAAAGAAAAACTAATATTATAAGATAACAACAGAAAGCAGATCTAAAATTAGTTTGATCTCAAGTGTTAAATTGCATTTTCTGTCATGTTGGGCATTAAAATCACCATGAGACCAAAATGGACATTTTTGATTATTTTGTATTATTGCAGTTTTTTATAATAAATGTTACTCTTCTGTTTTATGATAAACTGCGACTTTCTTGACTTTCATAATTATTTTTTAAATTGACAAACATCATATGTGTAATTCAGAGCACAATTCAAACGGAATAAAAAGATAAGTTGTCTCTCGCCATTGACTACCATACATATTTTTTCCGAAATAAGGTCCCATGAGCCGGAAGCGGAGGGGCGGGGCTTAGGCTCTCTATAGAGAAGAAAAGACTAGCGCAACTTCTATATCTATAAAGTGATTATCTTACTTTATAACTATTATAACTTCTATAAAGTGATTTTCACCTCTGGGAAACACACATACCTTCTGTTCCTCTGTGAAATCATGCAAGTTTGATGACTGCACTTCTTTCTGAAGTTGCCTTGCGAGTCTGATAAAAAAAAAGAAAAATCACAGTCATAGGTTAGTAAAGGACAGAACGTCATTTTCATTTTAAAGGTAGGGTGGGTAAATTGTTTCAGATTTTTTGTTGTTGTTACAGTATGTTGGTTGCAAGTCTGTGTAGTTCACATCCTGATAGCAATCACAGTTAAGTGGTCAAAATTTATTTATATGTATATCTATCAGACAGGGATATATATATATATATATATAAACCCTGGCAGGAAAATTAAACACTAAATATATTTCCATTCACAACATGTTTCTCTGTTTTGTAGCTCATGATGAAAAAATTAAAGAATTTTGTTTATGGACAAAATCCATGTTCTGGATGAAAATATAAGAATTCAATTTTCTGTAACATGAACAATGAGCTACACATTTGTTACAGTATTTATTAATATTTGTTAATGTTAGTTAATAAAAATACAGCTGTTCATTGTCCGTTTGTTAGTTCATTATGCATTAACTAATGTTAACAAATACAACCTTTGATTTTAATAACGTAGTTAATGTTGAAATGCTGAAGAACTATTGTTCATTCTAGTTCATGTGCACCAGATTGTAAAGTGTTACTTTTCTTTGTGATTTGTGTTGCATGACCAAGTGCACGTACATGACTACGTTAAAACCCACAAAGAAAAAGCGAGATTAGAGTGTGTAGAGCAGAAATGCTGCAGCTGTGTGTGTGATGTGTGTGTTGACCTAAATGGCACGAGTTCAGCTTGAGACTGAGGAGAGTGAAGCCCCGCCCCGCGCTCAAGGAGGGTGTGGCGCGCGACATAATGCAAAACAGGCTGTCAAACACTCAACAGTTATTCACACACTCATTGCATCTGATGCACATCTACAACACATCAAATCCAGCAATGCAAGATCAGGCTAAATTAAGATGAAAAAATCTATAAAATGCAACTTTCTATGATTCCAATGCATCACTTGTCATGCCTTGTTTTGTTAATTTTTTTTTAGAGGAAAGACAAATTCCATCCTGCTCTGATCCAGAGATCGCCAAATACATATGTTTTATTTTAATCAGAAATGCGCAACTTACATTTGATATTCATCGATAGCTTCCACCAGCTGCCCCCACGAATCAAAGTCCGTGCCCTTTCTAAAACTCGCGTGCCATTTCTGGACGGTCTTGCTGACATCTGACATCTTCTCCGGTTAAAGTTGCGCGAAGGCTTTGGTTTCTGACATCGCTGGTGGAGTTTTATCTCCAGCGCCGCATTGTTGCGCACCGCCGGGAAACACACTGGGCTCCGGAAGCACCGGTGGCACCGACACTCACCGCCACGGGCCTGATGCGAGTGCAACCGAACTACCTGCGACTGCACCGGAAGATGCGCCCACTAGTGGCGTTTTCAAAATAAAAGTCATATTTCGACTCTCATCTCGCCATTATGACTTGGTTGAGTTGCGATAGTAGCGTAAAACTAGTAAGTAATTCCGTTAAAAAAAGAAAGTAATTGCGTTATATAAATAAATTTTACTTTTTTAGTCAGCAATCGGATTAATACCACATCCATGTGAATTTCTTAAGCTAAATGTTTTACCAGTGTGTATGTGTGAGTATACTATATGCAAAGTTATATATATATATATAACTATATGCATAATACATAATAACTACAGTACATAATATATATATATATATATATATATATATATATATATATAAACACACACACATACACACTGACACTGGTATTTGCTCCTTTAAAATTTGATTTATTCTGGATAATAAGAAATTCACATGGATGTGGTGACTCTAATGTAATTTTAATTAATTGGATTTATTTACATTTTTTATGTTGTAACTTGCTCTTCCTTGCACCAAGTCATTATGATTTCTATTTGAACAAAAACACAAAAACACATAAGTTAAAAAAAAATATATATATCTATATATTTTATATATCTATATATATATATATTCAATTTAATTTAGGCTATCTCTACCTTTTTTATAGTCTATGATCTCTACTTGCGAATTTAGAAACTGCCAAAACATGTTTTTTTAATAAATTACGTAAATGGGGGTTTAACTCAATGGGCGTGTGCATGACGTCACCACCCGAATCACGTCATACCGGAAGAGTGTTCATTGTTTTGGCGTTTCCTGATCCACATCTTTGGAGTCTCGCTGATTAAAACAACACACATCTGACAGTCGACACATTACTGGTATAAATACATATCTCTTTCATTTAAAACAAGCTTTATAAATCAGTTGTGATATTTGAGCCGGTAGCTGCTGTGTTTGCTAGTGGACTGCTGTTGAACAACGAGTCTCTGACTCGGTTCATTTCTCTCAGATTTTTATTCGCATTATGAACAGCATTGAGATCACAGATCCGCGTTTTTTTCATATGTAGACGACAAAGAATCACCAGTAGATCGTTTTTAACGGGTGTATTGTTTCTCTGTCTGTTTTTATCACATCGAGCTGTTGATAAACAAGGCCGAGATGTCATAAATGGACCTGCCTTCTCAAATGACTCAGTTCATACAGCACTTGAACCAATGATCTTTTGATCGGATCCCATAAGTGTTACTTCTTTTGTAAATTAAATGCACTGCGTATTAATAGATGTGAGATGTTCTCAGAGATTTAGCTGCCCATAACTTTTCAATCTGAATGAAAATGTCAGTGTTAATACCATCTGTGTTGATTCTGTTGTATAGAAAATCACATAAGGTCTAGTTTAGTTAATTGGACGTGTTTCTCGAGAATAATTCTACTCAACCAGTTGTTCCCTACTGGTCATGATCCAGATTTTTATGTGGTGACTTAGTACCGTATTAAAATAGCAAATGAATTGTATTAATAAATCAGAAACTACTAATAATAGTGTCTTTCTTGTTCAGGTCACCATGACTCACTGGTTCCACCGAAACCCTCTGAAATCCACAGCTCCCGTGTCCTTCAACCTGTACGGTGTGGCGTCCAGTCCCGCTGCCAATAAGATCTGCAAGTGAGGATTTAATTCTGGTATTACTGTATATTAATTTTGTGGGCCACTGTATTTTTATGACATACATGTAAAACCTGTGTTTCAGTGACCTGAGAACGACGCGGGCCAGACTTCTGGACATGTTCACCGATGCCACATGTACCCCAGAGATTATGAAGAAATCCAGTGATGAATATTTCGCTCTTTTACAGGGTTTGTGAATTATTATTTCCTCTTGTGGTTCTGGTCAGATATTTCCATGTTGCTCATGCTGTTTTGATTCATTTGCATTTATGTTGCTCACAAGCATCTTATTGTTGTTGTTTTGTTGGCATTGTAAAAAAAAAAAAAATCTGCTTTCTATTTTTTTTAATGCACAAAGGATTCATTTTGCCGCTGGATGGAACCACACAAGAGAGCAAGCTTCGGTTCATCCAGAACTTCAAATGGACTGACACTTTACAGGGAAATATTGCAAGGTGACTATCATACAATGTGGTTCAGTGAAGTCGGCGTCCTGCAACTGAACCTTTTCTTATTTTCTTGTGTAGTTTTGTTCATTGTTTTTGAGAATGAAAGCAGGTGACGTGTTCATGTTGACATTATCAATCTGATGTGATGAGGTCCTACCAAATGACAGATGAATCTGAACTAAGATAACATGTTTGATTGGACTAAATCTATTGACTAAAATGACCCCATTAAAAGATGTTTTGCATTTTTCAGTGCGCAGCAGGATGCGATCTTTGAGCTGGTGTCTATGGCGTTTAATGTCGCCATCTGGTACACCAAGTTTGCTTCACGACTGGCTGGAAAGGAGAAGTAAGTTCTCTTGAATAATTGATTATGATTGGTCAGTGATGACATTCTGTGATAAGGTATTAATTTCTGTACTTTGTAAAATAAAACCATGGCAAAAATAAAATCCTTTGGAGAAGTTCAAAATAGTTTTGAAAAAATTTCCCACATAGTTCTGCCAATTTAATTTCTCTCCTGTGTTGGTATTCTTAGCTAAAATTAAACTATTAAAAATTATATATTTTTATTTTAAATGATATAAAATATAAATATTAGATGAAAAGCTTAAATTAATAAAAGAAAATAAGCTAAAATAGAAATAAATAAAAGCTAAATAGAATTTTAAAAAGCTAATAAAAAATGATAAAAGTACATAAAACTTTAACTAAAATATAAAACAAAAAAATATTTATATATATATATATATACAGTATGAAAATATAAAAAATAAAAGTTAATAATAATTATAAATAATAAAACATACTACAATAGTGTAAAAATACTAAAATAACAGAAAAGTTTCTTGGATCACTGCTCTTTTTCTTCCTACATAATAAATTCTTTTTAATTTCAAAATCAATATTTAATTTATTCTTATTCAGTAGCCTTTTAATAAATGAGATTATGAACTGTAAACTAGTCATTATTACTGACTGACTGCACATCGCCTCAGTCTGTAAAATATAGTATTTATTAGTGTAAATAACTTCTGTCTGGGTTTTTATTATAATTTCATTAAAGGCATTTTTACAAGTTTTTGTTTTTTACATTGTAGCGTCACAGAGGACGAGGCCAAAGACGTTCACAAGAGTTTGAAAACCGCTGCTGGGATATTTAAAACCCTCAAGGTAAAATGTGCCTGACTTATTTAGTGGCGAGTTAAAGCAGAAAGACTTGATTTGAGTGCCTAAACCCCCCTTAACATGGTAAAACCATTGTAATGCATGGTCGTGGGTGTCTTACTGTTTGATCCATGGTGATATTTGACTTCCTCTTTCCTGTCAGGAGACTCATATTCCTCGGCTCATCACTCCAGCGGAGAAGGGCCGAGACCTGGAGCCTCGAGTCATTGACACATACATTGTGCAGAGTCAGGCCGAGGCTCAGGAGGGTAAAACATGCCTCCGTTTACTCTGAGTTTACAGTGTGTTTGTGATACTTTACACTATGAAATTGAAAAAAGTGCAATACAAACAAATGGGGTGTGCAATATTGACAAATAAATGATTTCTCCATAGCGATTATTAGACGATATTTTACTGAGTGTGTTTATTCTGTTTGGCAGGTTTGACTGTCGTGGATATTCTTCATTTTTTCCAATATGGTTCAATTGATTTTTACCTTTTAAAGCAAATTTTTTTTAAACCTAATTCAATTGTCAATTTCATAAATTTATTTTTAAAATCAAAATCAATTGTAAAAATAAGACACAATATGGCTGTTACCAATCACATGATATCAGTATCAACAAAAGTAATATTTGCAATATTGATATTTTCAGATATTCCAGAATATTGATATTTAAAATTATTTAAAACAAGAAAAGATACTTTAAATGTGAAACTTAAAGCGCCAGTAGGTGGCAGCAAGTCGCTGTTAATGAGCGAATCATTGAGATTCTTGATACTTGATAATGTCAAATCACACATCGTTAAAACAACGAACAAATACGATATATATCGCAGACATACATCCCTACATACAAATCAAACTAGTTGTTGTTCAAATCTGAATGATAAACTCTCTCCAGACTAGGTCTTTATAAAAACCTTCTGATTCTGGAAGTGAGTTGTTGTTTTGATGCTTACATGGACAAATGTTAAAATACCAGCCATTAACAAAATGTTATTGTCCTTGATTTAAGGAACTCTCTTTTTGAATCAATTCAGTTAAAAAAGCCTGATATATTTTGGAAATATGAAGGGGAGATTTTGCGCTGGCTGTTTGAAAATGATGGCAAAATGTATTGAAAAGTCTTGGGCCTGACCCGTATTCATAAAGAATCCTAAAGTAGTAGTTCACTTTTAAAAAACTTTTGCTGACCCCCGTGTCATCCAAGATGTCCATGTCTTTCTTTCTTCAGTCGAAAAGAAATTAAGGTTTTTGATGAAAACATTCCAGGATTTTCTCCATATAATGGACTTCAATGGGGACCAAACGGTTCAAGGTCCAAATGAGAGTTTCAGTGCAGCTTCAAAGGGCTTTAAACGACACCAGACGATGAATAAGCGTCTTATTTATTTATATATTCATGTGGTTGTGACTATTGATGATGTGTGTATTGTCAGATGAAACATAACAGGCTCTTTGTGAATATTTGGATTGCTGTGATATTTTAATCAGGATTGGTCATTCCGAATAAAATAATCAAGTGTGTGTGTTTTTAGTGACCATTGCCAGAGCCATCGAGCTGAAGCACAACGCCTCCCTCATCGCAGCGCTGGCGTTCGAAACCGCGAACTTCTACCAAAAGGCCGGTAGGTTTACTATTGACTCTGTTTAATCAACATTTCTCTGTTTAAATGGACAGTTCACTCAATAGTGAAAATTATCATCATTAACCTATCCCTTGAATTGTTCCAAACCT